TCAAGAAAAAATAAAATGAAAAGGAGAAAGGAAAAAAAGCTTTTTCTCATTAGAGACTACTACTACAAAGATATATTATTCATTCATTCACTCACTCACTCCTTCGCTCACTCACTCGTTCATTCATTCATTCATTCACTCAATCATACACTCACTCACTCGTTCATTCATTCACTTACTCACTCATTCACTCATTCATTCACTTACCCACTCGTTCATTCATTCACTTACTCACTCATTCATTCATTCACTTTTCCATTCATTCATCTTTTCCTTCCATCTCAGAAGCAACAGCAAACGATATAGATTAGGTACAAATACGCGCAAACACACACACACACATCACCTACCTACTGCGTGTAATGTTCTGGAATCTGTTTGCGTTTGAAGCAGGCTACTGCGACATACAGAACCCGACACTTTAACCATTTAACCACCATTTCCCAACCCATATTTGTATCAAATTTTTTAATTCTCATTCGCCATGCAATGTGAGAATTAACGCTAATAATATTCACATAAAGATTGATTAATGCCGCAGTAATTGTAGTGTTTTATTTGAAATAACAGTCGTTATTATTATTACGAATGTGAAACAAAGTTACTGTGTATAAAGTGTGTCTGTGTGTACGTGTGTGTATGCGTGCGTGTATGTGTGTGTGTTTGTTTGTGTGTATTGTTTGTATATAAATTGTTTTAATGTTTTATTTCAATTAATTTCATGCCAGGCCAATATGACAGTTGATGTAAATCAATACACTGCTGTATGCTTTTATGTACTTGTATGTATGTGTATGTTTGTATGTTTTATTATTATTATTATTATTATTATTATTAAAACACTTAATAAGGCGCCAATTAAAATCAAAAAGTTCTCAAAAGCGCCATCCATAGCAATTAAAAAAAAAAATAAAGAACAGTATACAATGGCAGTTATTAATAAACAGTTCAAAATCAAAATCAAAGTGCAAATAAATAAGTTTTCAATTTCTTCTTAAAATCATCCAGCTTCAAGTCTTTAGATTTCAAAAATCTTGGCAAACTGTTCCAAACAGCCGGTCCTGAAACAGCCAGATTTCTTGACGCGATCTGTAAATTGATATCCGGGACAACCAGCAAAATATTATCATCTGACCTCAGCTTCATGCCACTCATCATTACGGATTTTTCTTCTATTTTATTGATCAGATAACCTGGTAACAGACCATGTAACGCTTTATACATTATTAGGCCTATTTTGTATGTAATTCTTTTTTTAACAGTGAGCCAATGAAGACTTTCCAAAATAGGAGTTACATGATTGTATCTGAGACCACCGACAATCAACTTGGCCGCTCTGTTCTGTATGGACTGAAGAGTAGAAACATGTTTATCAGGTAACCCGTAAAAAGGCTATTGCAGTAATCTAGTTTTGAAGAACAAGTGCATGCACCAACGTCTGAATAGCCGATTTATTTAAAGAATTACGTACTTTGTATAACTCTCTAATCTGAAAAGAACATGCTCTCACTATCGTTTTTATATGATCCTGCATCGATAATCTGGTATCCAGTAAACAACCCAAACTAGTTACTTTGTCACAGAACCCAATCTTGACGTCATCAATTTCCACCGAATCAATATTTAGTTTTGTCAACTGCTGCCATGTTCCAACGGGAAGAAATTGTGATTTCTGTTGGTTCAATTTGAGACCATTGTTAGACATCCACGTTTCAACATTGCTTAGACACTGGACCAGTCTATTTATTTCACATTGTAGTAGTTCTGGCTTATTACTAATTATTATTTGTATGTCGTCAGCGTAAGCGTGATACTTAAAACCAAACTCATCAATAATCTTTAAAACCCCAGCAGTGTACATGACAAAAAGAATAGGTCCCAACACTGAGCCTTGAGGTACTCCTGATGTTAAGACCATTACATCAGATAAAACATTTCTGAAAACAACCTGCTGCGTCCTGCCAACTAGATATGATCTGAACCATTCAATAACTACACCGGAGATACCATATTCATAAGCCAATTTTTCTAAAAGAATTTGATAATCGACGCAGTCGAATGCCGCACTCATATCCAAGAAAGCTACCAATGCCACATGCTGTCTGTCCAGCGCAGCAAACAGTTCAGAGAAAACATAAAGCAGTGCTGTCTCAGTTGAGTGATGTCGACGATATCCAGACTGATGCACTGGTAATAGGCTGTTCAAAGTCAAATAATTAAGAAGCTGTTTAGTAACCACTTGTTCAATCACTTTAGAAATAAAACAAATATTGGAAATTGGTCTATAGCTAGTCAAGTCATTTCTATCCATATTCACCTTTTTTAAAACCGGATAAACAATAGCTTGTTTACACCCAAGAGGAAAAGAACCACTGCTTAAACTCAAGTTTATAAAACTCGTCAGAAAAACTATGAACAGATCAATGTATTTTTTAAAAATGTGCGTAGGAAAACTATCAATCAAACATGTTTTAGATGGCAAACTGAGGACTACTCTTTTAACCTCCAATTCTGTAAGAAACGTGAAATCAGAAAAAGAGCAGTTCATATTAGACATTGTCTGATCCATTGCCGGTCTGCTGGTAACATTAGTAGTCTATCTTATTCTATTAACTTTATCATCAAAAAATTTCACAAACTGAGACGAATCTAGATTTATAATTTCATTAGATGATTCGCCAGTAACTTGATTGCATAATACTTTGTTTACTATTTTCCATAAATCTTTAGGAGATCCACAATTTTCGTTGATAAGTTTCTTCCAATAATAATTCCTTTTTTGGGAAAAAATTCGAGATTTGTTTTTTAGAGCAGCAATCCAGTCACCTTTGCATTCAAAAGACTGATATTTTCTGTAGTTTCTTTCTTTTTTACGACAAAGTCTTTTGATTGTCTTACATTCATAATCGTACCAAGGGGCAGCAACATCACATCTGACTTTAGTAAAATGATAAGGAGCAATTTCATCAGCCAATTTCTTGAGTTCAGTATTCAAAATATCAAATTCAAAACTGATGTCACCACTCAGACATGACCTTGATAGTGGTGAGTTTTCCACGTGTTTAAACAGCTTGGTCTCATCCAAAAATCTCCATGATCTAACCATTTTCATGACAGTTTTAGGATGTTCGTAAGTTAATGGTATACGAGCCTGTATCAAGCTATGGTCGGACAAAATCCCACATGGAAAAATGTTTAAATCTGATACCAAAAAATCTTCTGAACAAACAATCAGATCAAGTATACCTCCCCGTTCGTGAGTTGATTGATTGATTAAGTTTTTCAACTGAAACATGTCAAACAATTCTAACAAATTTAAAGTATGACGATCATTCAGCTTTTCTATATGAATGTTAAAGTCGCCCAAAATTATTAAATTTGAACTAAAAGAAGCAATATTTTCTAGTAAACATAAAAGTTCTTCAAAAAATAAATTAGTAACTGGTGCCGATCCAGGTCTATAGATGGCTAATAAAATAAAATCTGTTCTTCTAATAAATAACTTTAGAGCAAGTGCTTCGAACGATCCAAACATAGGTAAGACAATTTTTTTAAATTTAAATTCATTTCTGAAGTATATAATTAAACCACCATGGTAAGGATCATTTATTCTTAAAAAATCAACGTAGTTATATCCAGGAGGAACTGAAGATCTAACAGAAATATTATTCGACGATCCGTGCCAGGTCTCAACCAAAACAAAAATGTCTAACCCGTTGTGAATTAAATCGTAGACAGCATCAAATTTTGAATTTATCGATCTGATATTTAATAAACCTAACATTACATTATAATTAGTCTTAGATAAATCACTTGCACCACAATCATTATCTTCAGAACTATTTACATCCGCTTTCGAGGTAATTTTACAATCACTTGCACCACAATCATTATCTTCAGAACTATTTACATCTGCTTTCGAGGTAATTTTACAATCTTCCACCTTCCGACCTGTCCTCTCACTCTGAACAAAAAATTCCGATTTATCTCTTCTTTTTCCATGGCTTTGGCTCTATCTACGTATGTTTTATATTCCTGTCTCTGGTCCATTGTCAAATCATGACTTAAACCGACGTGTGAGAAACCTTGCAAAGATTTGAATTTTTTAACATTTCTCATTATTGAATCTCTAAGAAATACATTGTCCAACTTTATCAACACAGGTCTAACTACTGATTCTTGTCTTTTTCCAAGTCTAAAAACCTTGATGACATTTTTATCAGAAACATCCTCCGACAGATGCTTCAAAATCTTGAGGACATTACCACGATCATCATCACTCTCCGATAGACGAAACATCAGCAGGTTTGATTCCCTCTCTTTAATTTCATTTGCCTCATCCAGAGCTTTCTGAAACGATTTTACTTCACTCCTGATGGCGTCAATATTTGCACCACCCCCTTTACTAACGATGCCAGCATACGTTTCTTTCAATTCGTTTTTGCATGTCTCAAGTCCATCACGCACAGTTGTATCAAAACGATCAAGTTGATCTAGCCTTGACTCATTGCGTTCAATATTCACTTTTATGTTATCAATATCAAGTTTTATTTTCATATATATTTCGTTTAATACGTCCAGCTGAGTGACAATTTGATTTTTCGTATTGTCCACTGATTTAGCTAAAGAACCAATATCCAATGACAAATCAAAACAACGGTGACAAAACCATTTTAATCCTTTAGAATTTTTCAAAATTTCCAAAATGTCATCATTAATTTCACATTTGTTGTGGGCGCAAGACTTGCAACATGCACAAATCAACAACTCCTTACTCGGAACTACTTTTGCACACTTCGTACAGCTGTAACGCGAGCTCATTGTATTTGTTGTATCTAATATTATAATTAGCTTCAGCCAGATTTTTAACAGCAGATAATTTATTCAATCACGTGACAATAATTCGAAACAAAACTTTATCAAATTTAACGAAAAAAACAAAATTTTATGAATTAAATTTAATACCAGCTTATTCTAGAAAATTTACTACTGCAATTTACGAAATTGTTAACATTAAATAACTACTTTTAACCGAGAAGAAAGCAGAAATAACAGCTAAAACAACAAATTCAAACAACAACCAATGTATCCCAAAATGTATCCCAAAATGTTTGTATGTATGTATGTATGTGTATGTTTGTATATATATATATATATGTGTGTGTGTGTGTGTGTGTTTGTATGTATGTACGTAAGTGTGTGTATGTGTGTGAGTTTACTTGTAACATATTGCATTGAAGGGTCTTATTTGAAAAAAAAAGCGCTGAGTGACTGAGTTGAAGACGCTGAGAACGGGTATGACATAAAGAAAGAGAGAAAGAGAGAGAGAGAGAGAAAGAGAGGAAAAGAGAAAAAGAGTGAAGGAGAAAGATAGAGAGAGAGAGAATAATGGAGAGAGAGAGAGAGAGAGAGAGAGAGAGAGACATAGGAAATAAATAAAGAGTTTCATACATACAATTTTGAGACAATTCATTTGTTCACACGTTCCATCACCGACAGACACACTTCCAAAAAATTTAATTTGCATTATTGGACATGAGTATTTCACAGGAAATTTCAGAAAAATTTGTCAGAGCTGTGAAAAAATTTTCCGCCCTGAATTAAATTTAAGTTTAATTGAATCCGTCCAGAGCTGAACGCGACAGAGAAAACTTCGGCAGATGTCAGGCTGGATGACGAAGACTGCACCGTAAGCTTCATCGAGTGGCATATCCTCAATTATGACGTCAGTGCTTCCTTTCTGATGACGTCATTATTTAATTTTCTTTTTATTCTATGTATTATTAATATCGCTTGATTATGGTTTCGTTATAACAGTTGAATCATTTTATCATTAATTTATGATCTATCTTTTAATTCATTGAATTATCAATTTATCAATTTCTTTGTTTATCTACCCATCCATCCATCCATCCATCCATCCATTCATCCATCCATCCATCCGTTTATCCATCCATCCATCCATCCATCAATCCATCCATCCATCCATAATTCAATCCATCTATCCATCAGCTCTTGGATGAAACCGACTCCTGCCTCTTAGTGTATTCAGTAAACGACAGATCGTCATTCAACCATGCAAGTACTTGTTTGACCGACGTCCGCAAGAGGTTCGAATCTAATCGAATGTTTGTCGGTTTAGTGGCCAACAAGCAAGACCTCGTCAGGAATCGACTGATATCGACTAAAGGTTCGGTATAATGTTTGAAGATTCGATCGTTCTATGTTGCGTAACAGTTCGTTGGTTTTTTTATTCATTCATTTGCACATCTGTTCATACATTTTCTCTTCTTTCATTCATTAATTCATCCGTTATTCATAATTCGTTCCTTTTTTATTCATCTAATCATTCACTCATTCACACACACACGCGCGCGCACACACACACACACGCACACACAAACGCACATATAAATAACCAACAAATCAAAACAGAAGGTAAAAAACTTGCCCTAAAACGTCATTGCAAGTTCTTAGAGGTCTCCGCCCTACTCGATCACAAGGTCGACCGCCTATTGGTCAGCATAATCAGAGGGACGAGAAATCGAAGGACGAAGTTGAACATGATTGGGACCGAAATTGTCATTGAGAAAAACTCCCAGGTACATAGAAAGAATCGTCTGAGCATGTTATGGCGGAGGCGCAGTGGGGGTTGGGCGGGTGGCGATGGGGACGGCACCGCGGACGATGACGACGACGATGAGTGCGGCGGAGAGGATGGAGTGGATGGATTGATGGGGAAGAACTGTCTCGACAGGATGTTCAGGTCCATTAGGAAGTGTCTTGATGCATGATTAGTTGATTGGTTGGTTACATGGATGGATGGATGGATGGATTGATAAATCTTTGGATGAATGGACGTATGGATGGATGAGTGAATGAATGAATGAATGAATGTATGAATGAATGAATGAATGAATGAATGAATGAATGAATGAGTGAGTGATAGAAAGAATGAATAACAAATAGACTAATAAGAGATTGAACGAGTGAAAAGAGAATCATCGTCTGGTTTTTTGGTTAATTTTGTTTTTGAATTATTAGTGAAAAACGATTTTTTAAAATGAGCGAATGAGTGAACGGATAAATGAACGAATGAATAAAAGAGAGAATAAACCAATAAATGAGTTATGGAAAACCAACTGGATGAATGAACGAAAGACTGAATGAATGAACCCCAAAACAAACACTGATATGAACACCGAACTTATACTTATTCGTTATGTAGAAATCTATTTTTATAAATTTTGAAAAAATTCTTCATATAATATTACGAAATAATTATTTTTTCAGATCATTAATTTTTTAAACAAAATTAATTTTTTGTATGTATGTATGTATGTATATGTGTGTATATATGTGTGTATGTATGTATATACGTGTGTATGTATGTATATACGTGTGTATGTATGTACGAGTGTGTTTGTATGTGTATATGTACGTACGTATGTATGTGTGTGTGGAAGTATGTGCCCGTATTTATGTACGTATGCTTAATATAAGCATTGTAGTAGCCAATAATATTGAAGCGAATTTTCAATATTATCAACATTTGGTCATTTGTGACGTAATGTCTCTTGCGCTTCTTGTGGCCTAGCATTCATTCTGATCGTGTATTTATTATTCCTAATCAAGTATCTATACAATACACACTCATACACTCACACACTCTCTCACACACACACATACACACAAACACACACACACACGCACGCATAAATATATATATATATATATTATCTTGGATATGTTAATTATTATATTATAATTATATAATTATTCGTAATATTGTTCTTATCTGACTGTTGTGACAGTGGGCTTTCTATGAAACATGCAACAAATAACAATAACAATTTTTATTATTATTAATTATTATTATGTTTATTATTATATAAGATATGCTAGTGTATGTGTATGTATGTATGTATGCATGTGTATGTGTTTGTATGTATGTATGAGTATGTTTATATGTTAAACCTGGAAATATTTTGAACGGAAAAATATAAAAATAGAATATTCATTTGACGAAAATTATCCACAACATCATCATCATCCTCTTCGTCTTCATCATCATCATTATCATTGTTAACAAAAAATAACAATCATCATCGTCGTCGTCGTCATCATCGTCATCATCATCCTTCACCTCCTTAGTACAAATTCAACTTGGTGACTAGAAGAACCCTTAAATTCTGATCGAACGACGTACAAACAGCTAATCCTAATTTATCCGGGGACCAATCAAATCCGCTTATTGGCTGGGTAGATAGGTGAATGTTTTGAAGGGGGCAGAGTGACCCCATGACCCCAACCTTTTCGCCCTCCGTGTCTGTCGTGCACCTTTGAGACGGGTAGTCGCTGTCGGGGGTGGGGGGTTACAGTTATTGAAGGTATTGTGATGGATCTATGAATGAAATTTAAGTAAAATTTGAATAGAAAATGAATGAAAAAATGAATGTATAAATAAATGAATGAATGAATGAATGAATGAATGAATGAATGAAAAATAGCATGAATAATAACAATCCATGAATGAATGAATGAGTCGATGGGTGTATGAAAAGTTTTTTTCCCCATTGAAGACATGGATCTTTAATAGGGCCATCTAGGAGGTGTGCTACTAACTACTTCCAGAGGTTCACAGAACCATTGCCGCCTAGAGTGACGAACAGATCGCGATTCTGGCACAGGTGTTTAACACCCCATACAGTAGATTTGTGGGCCTGAGTGAATGATTGAATGAATGAATGGATGGATGGATTGATGGATGGATGGATGGATGAATGAATAAATGAATGGATGACCAGATAAATGAATAAACATATGATCAATGTCCAAAAATGGCTAAATCAATCAACCAATCAATTAGCCAATCAACCAAGGTTTTATTCCTCCATCCATCCATCCCATGACCTCATGACCTTTTCAGTAAGGTGGGCAAACCCCTTCCTACTGTGTTGAGTTCTCATGTCGAAGACATGGAACTTCGACTCCAGGCCAGTGACCACTAATTTATTCATCTCTATGTCCTTGCGATCGAATTGAAGGTCACAAATCTTCATAAAAAAATAAATTAAAATCAACTAATAACGTAACTGGTTCTAGAAAAAAAAAATTCAACAAAGCTGACCCCATTTCCAAGGTTAAACTCCCACCTTAGGGCCATTTTGCGAAGGTCAAATAATTTGAGGTCACCATTATCATAGCCTGTCGCTATGCACCTATCATGTGCATTGAAGGCGTGGCCTGAATAAATTAAATTATGAATGAATTATATCACAAATAATTTAAAATATGAATAAATTAATAATTAAATTGTTTGGTAAAAGATTTTTTTCTGTAATTTGTCTTTAAAGCAAACTTACTAACCAAACCCAACGGCCCAACAGTCCCTTTTGGTTTCGCCATCGCAGGGTTCAAAGATAGCAACGGGATCATCTTTTTGCCTTGGGTCCCAAAGTTTAACTTTACCTAAAATTGTACACACAAAATTTAATTTATAAAAATAGCGAAGATAAGTTTTAAAAAATAAATAAACACCAAAAAAATGATAAAAAAAACTCTTACCATCTCTACTTCCTGTAACAATTTCGGGGGCCCCTTCACCTATGCCTAAGCCTCCAACTGCATCGATACAGTTTATAATTTCTTTGTGGCCTTTTGCAGTGTATGTTGGTGATTCCAAACATTCTAAATCCCTAATTTTATAAAATATAAATAATAATGTAAACATTTTTACCCCATTAAATATTATATATGACTATACATAATTTGAAATAACATAAATGCTTACCAGATTTGGAATTTTCCTTCAAAATCTCCAGTGGCGATGGATTTGTTATGATAAGTTGATGCGCCAAAAGTTCCACATTTAAATGCTTTTGGTTTTTCAGCCTGTTGAGAAAAAAATTTGTTTTCAATATTATAAATAAGTTTTTCATTTATTTATAAAAGAATTAAGTATTTTTGTTAAACTTTAATTTAAGGAAAATATTATGTTTTCAAAATTCACAACTAAACATACACAGAAGAATGAATGATCAAATTATAGAGTTATGTCTATAACTGTTATATAGATATTTAAATTTTAATTTAATATTAATAATCATTTAATTTTCAAAATGACAGTGTTTGATTCTAAACACACAACAGACTTTTTTCATGAGTTTCACTTCGCCCTGTGACAGTTCAAATATTTCTAAGGCTCCAGTTCCGCGTGGATGGCTCCCTAAAACTACAAATTTGGCACTTCGTGGGATCCACTTGCAATCATACAATGTGTAGTTCAGGGAATGTTGTACGTGGGCTATTATTTGCGGTTTATCCATGCTTACTCCAAGTAACCCCTTGGTGATTTGATTAGTAATTGATTAGTGCAAATTTTGTGATTGAACTCAATCATCAACCCATGAATGAATGAAATCTGAAATGAGTTCTGTCTGCTGGTCCTTAGGCTTCGCTTTCGATTCAATGAAATAACATCCAAATAAACAACTATTACATTTTAAAATACTTAAAATAAAACGATTAAAACACTAATTTAACTAACTTTAAAATCAACTTTGAGGATTTTATATTTAATTGTAAACAAGCAAGCACCGTTGTCAACGAGTCACTTTTAAATTTTAAAAACCCTTAAAAGTGAACTTTGATAATTAACAGATTGTAGAGAACAAAAATGCAAATAACTCCAGGTAATGAAAAATTTGGTGCATATTAACACAAATATTTAGTATTTTAAATTATATTATTTTAATTTTGTAAAATTTGAATCAAAAAAATTTATATTTCAAAACCCCATTTTATACGTACTACTATGTATGCAAAGCAACTACCGAAGCGTGTCGAGACAAATATTTTATATAAATAAACATACAGACGTACACAGATGTATACAAAATGCACATACGTACTTATAAACATACGAAACGAAACGAAACGAAACGAAACATACATACATACATACATACATACATACATACATACATACATACATACATACATACATACATACATACATACATACATACATACATACATACATACATACACACTCACACACATACATACATACATACATACGTACATACATGCAACATGAATGCAGGTATACATACATACATAAGGCATATATATGACCAAATGCTTTTTATGTTAATGCATTACCTATCCAACACCATAATACAGGTATGAACCAGGTGTGAGTCTATATATATATATATATATATATATATATATATATATATATATATATATATATATGACTGTGTGTGTGTTTGTATTAACGATGACGACGATGGTGATGGAAGATAGTTAGAGATGATGATGATAAAATTAGGAGAGGAGTGAGATAGTGATGACGAAAGTATGAGGGTTGATATAATGAATGATGCGATTGGATATTGAGGACAGGTATTTTAACTATAGTGATGCTAATGATGATGATGACGATGATGATGACGACGATGATGATGATGATGACGACGACAATGACGGTGGGTTTAGAAGAAAATGATGATGAAAATGATAAGAACTTTGATGATGATGGAGACATATTTTCGCTTCATCGTTAGCAACTAGCCAAATCATCAGACAGATTATTTACCCAGCATGAAACTGACACGTTAACGATCAAATGTAGCCATCAAATCATACCTAATTAACACGTGATAAGTTTATTTTAAAAACTTTGAAATTTATATTTTAAAAGATCTCTGATATTCATTAGTAGTATACTATCTTAAGTATCAATTGTGGGTATTAGTTCAGAATGCATCGGCTACTAGAGTTTGCTTGCATATGCGGGCTTATATGTAAGTAAACATTACACAGACTCACACACACAAACACACACATATACACACTCACACATACACGCGCACATACATACATACACGCGCACATACACTCACACATACATGAAGACATTGAAAAATTCTTCAAATTTTATTAATCGCGAACCGATGACAATGTTTAAATAAAACATCGCTTGTTTTACCTTGTTATTATTTACTACTACTACTACTATTATTATTATTTCTATTATTATTATTATTATTAATACTATTATATATTATCCTTACTACAAAATTGATATTTATTAATAAAATGCTATAGGACAGATTTAAATGACTGACTTACTTGCTTTCATTGTCTTGCTTTAACATTGCTCAAATATATATATATATATATATATGAATACTATATCTTTAAGTGTATGTATGTATATGTATGTATGTGTGTATGTATGTATATGTATATATAGTAGTTTGTATGTTATACAAAAATAAACATATGTATGTATATAAATGCATATCTATATTGTAGATAGAGTGTGCAATGTATAGCGAAGCGTAGGTTTTTTGCAAATTTTTTCATAGTTTTGTATCATATTTTGAAATCAGTGATCGAATGTTTTTATTATTGGTTTAAAATTGAATATTAATATAATAATATAATTAATGATAATTTCGAGAGAATTGTCAGTGTTGTATTTTATTTTTTGGACGCAGTTTTGCTATAATAATAATAACAATAATAATAATAATTATTATTATTATCATTACTTTTTCATGTTGAAAATAGCGAATTTTGAAGATGTTTGTAATGGCTGTGTGTTTTCCGGTTAAAATTTCATTTGTTAAACTCCAGTGTTAGATAGTTTTAATGGATTTTATTCTACATGAAGAGTTGCAATGTGGATATGAAATAATAATATCAATAATTAATTTATTCGTTCGCTCTTTCATTCATTCATTAATTCATTTATTCATTCATTCGTTTATTTATTACTTATTCATTCGTTCGTTCATCCATTTATATATTTCATGCAACCAACTCTGCAACCATTCATTTGTTCATTCATCCATTTATTCAATCATTCATTCAATCATTCATTCAATCATTCATTCATTTTTTCAGTTTGACAACAAACTAAGTAGAAGCACTTAATGTTTGGAATACATAGAAATTAACGTTGAATCCAATATAACGAGCAGGATAACTATCTCTACATAATAAAATAATAACAACAATAATAATAATAATAATAATAATAGAGAATAATAGTAAAAATAATAAACAAATAATATAAATAATAATAATAAAATAATATAAATAATAATAAAATAATAATAATAAAACAACCATGACTAACTACCCGGCAAATTTTTTCTGTAAGTTTATCTCATTCCATTCTTCTAAAAATTCGATTCATAACAATTTCAATACCACATTTAACCAATTAGTTATAATTATTAATAATAAAGAATAATAACATTTTATTCATTTTTTAACCGTCCAACCATCCACTAAAAATTTTCCGCCAGTCGAAAACACTACCATAGGGAAGGGCCAGCTGACGGTCAACATCGTCTACAATGGCGTCAACATCCCGGCCAAAATTGAGCAGACGGAGCTTAGCAAATTTCACATCAGTTACAACCCTATCGGCAGCGGTACATACATTATCAGAGTGTATTACGATGGCAATGAGATACAAGGTACCTCACTTGACCCACTTATTTAGTTTTTAAAAAGTGTGACCTGTTTGTTATACAATTGATCTTTTATTATCTCGACTTTTTGACCTTCTGACCGTTCAAGGTTCGCCATTTACTATGGAGGTTATTGACGCTAAAGACGTGAAAACGAGCGGCGAGGGCTTGAACTCTGGCGAGGTCGGTGAGAGGTCAAGCTTCTTTTTGAACCTCGGACCGAATGCATTTCCATCCGACGTCAAAGTGCTGATCACGAGTCAGTTGAGTTGGAGTGAATGAATTGTGAATGAATGGCTGGATGGAGTATGGATCTGTTGGCAGTAGTTCCTGGTTTTTCAAATAACTTATATTGATGAGTGTATCAAGTTTTGTATCAAGTTTCTTATCAGAGCTATCTAATTTTTTTCAATTCAAATGTTGCGATTCAAAATTATTGTAAAAAATAATAGCGAAAGTATTTGAACGCGAAAAAATTTCCCCGTTAGCCCCAAAAGGATTTCCACTGCAGCCCAAAATTATAGACCGTGGGGGAGGTAACGTTGTTGTAGAGTTCAGCCCAATCGAAGCAGGTTTTCTTATTAAGTTAACTATTCGCTCCCTCATTAACATAAGTTTTTAATGAACTGCCCGTTAGTAACTCATCCGCATTCATTCATATTTCAATCCACCGTTAACACAACTCACTAAATGGTTCATGGATAACTCTTGCAAACTTTAACCTACTGATACTTCTAACTTGCTCGTTGCGTCAACTTTGAGATGAGCTTTTGTCATTAACTTCGATCTCTTGACATCAATCGCTGACTTATATATCTTGTCAAAAACATTTTTAATTATCTATCAACTCTAACTCATTTGCATGAATCTATCCCCAACCTAATTAACATAATTTATTCGCAACGACGCACATGAATCTGACGAACCACAGGCGAGCATCTGATTGACGTGAGGTACTTCGACAAGCCGATAAGTGGCAGTCCCTTCTCGTGCCAGGTGACAGATGGAAATCAGATCTACATAAACAACATCCCGCCCGTGGGCTCCATCAACAGACCGGTAGAGTTTGAAAGTCAGTTTCGGAGATTTTTCTTCTGAAATTTTCACTATTAACCCAAAAAGTAACGGTTAATAAATAAAAATGTTTCTGACAGGGTAAAAAAGTTAACGATTTTATGAATGGTGTAAAGTTATGAATGGTGAAAAGTTATGAATGAGAGATTGAAGTTGAGGGCATAAATTCATCTCAAAGTCGACGCAACGAGCGCTGGACAAGGCAAGTTAGAAATATCAGTAAACGATGGCAACGTACCCTGTATGGTTGATAGCCAGGGGGGTTATAGGTTCAGGGCCTCCTTCGTACCCACTGAGGCAATCCCTCACGTCGTCAGGCTTAGGTTCAATGGAAAAGAAGTTTCAGGTTGGTCTGGTTTATTTAGTTTTTTTATGTTGCCCGCAATGGGATTTATTTTCATTCATTCAAATGATCATTTATTCATTCATACCCTTGTATCTTTCTACATCTAATTAGTTATTTGGTGTCTTGCTTTCTGATGTCTGTCGTTAGTGTTGTTTATTCTCAGAATTGTTGTTCTCAGAAATGTCAGATTAATGAAAAAAATCTATAAATTGCCGTGGATTTTGATATTTTTAGTGTTGTGGTTCTCTTAAAATAAACATTTTCAAGGACTAATTGATAAATAAATAAAAATAAATAAATGAATGAACGAACGAACGAACGAATGAACGAACAAAGTTTTGTTACGCAGGCAGTCCGTGGATGGTACAGGTGCAGAATCCCGCGGCAAACGCCATGGTGTCGTACAATTTTTCTCAGAACATTGTAGTGAACCAGGTGACTGAGTTGGAGGTTAAGTTGAACAGTCTGGATAGCGAGGTTACTGCTTCAGTTACAGGTCGGTGGCGAAAATATTTTTGCAATAACGATTCAAAATTACAATATCCACTCTAGTTATTATATTTTAGAATTTCGTTAACTAATTTATGATAATTATACGAATTTTTAGAATTTCGTTAACTAATTTATGATAATAATACGGATTTTTAGAATTTCGTTAACTAATTTATGATAATTATACAGATTTTTAGAATTTCGTTAACTAATTTATGATAATAATGCAAAATATTAAAGTTGAAAATGAATAATTGTAAAGGGCCAAACAGGCGCTCGACCCCGGCCAGCGTTGTCAACATGAGAAACGGTGTTCACAGAGTTGAGTTTGCGCCAAGAGAAGCTGGTACGTGTTTGTTGCTGCTTGTATTTTGCATGCCATCCCTGAGATTCAATGGCATTCGAATCCCGTCAGTACAACAGCAATCTCTGAGATCTTTGCCGCTACACCGTCGTTCCGCCAGACACTTTCTTGTTTGCATGTCTTTTTCACCTCTGTCCGTATTGCATCTTATTTCTTGCAAGCATTGAAATAATTTTTAAAATTAAATTATTCTTTCAGGGACACACCTGGTGCAGATCTCGGTAGACGGAGTAACAGTTCATGGCAGTCCCTTCGTCTTCAAGGCCTACAACCCTCAGGCCATCGTCGTCACCCCCCCTGGCGTAGGCACCATCGGAGTCCCGGTGGAGTTCACCAGTAAGGATTCCGTATATATTTGGGAATTGTGTATTTATAACAAAATTTTTAATCGCTAGCTCTTTGTTCAAACATGACCTAGTTACATAATTATCCAATAAAGGACATCAATTCTCAATTCGACCTAAATAAATTTTTCATTTTTTAAAATTTCAGTCGACGCCTCGAAAGCCGGCGAGGGTCAGTTGGAGATAATGGTCAACAAGGGCAGTGTTCCAAACGTCACGAGGTCAATTAGCAAGAGTATCTTCCAGGTCCCAATGTTATTCTTACCATACGGTCACAATTATCAAATTTATGACCGGATGTTGGATGAATGATTTGTCAAACATGTCCACGGGCGTGTGTGTTTTCATAACTTAGATTGGTGACTAAATTTTAAAATTAAAAACTCGCTCGTCACCGTCGTCAGGTCAGTTTCGTGCCTACAGACCCGCGTCCTCACATTGTCGACCTGCTCTTCAACAAAGAACCCATACCGCGTATGTTTCAACTTTAACTCAAAATAAAACTATGTTTTTCAATCTATTCATTTGTTGTTTTTGTATTTTATGCTCTTTTATTTATTCAAATTTGACCTCTTCTTGACCTCACCAGAAAGCCCTCTCTCCGTACCAATAATGGACGCCCGGGGCAACATGGTGACGTCACAGGGGGCCAGTTTGCACGAGGTGGCCACAAACAGACACTCCATATTCAGACTGCATCAAAACCAGCAGCAGCAGCAGCAAATGTGGCAGCAGCAGCAGCAGATTCCCATGGTGGAGGAAGAGATGGATTTAAAAGTTACAGGTTTGTTGGTCGATCGGTCGGTCGGTCGGTTGGTTAATTAGTCGGTTGGTTAATTTGTCGGTTGGTTAATCTCAATTATTTTACAATTTTATTATGAGTTTTCCAACGAATTGATATATAGCCACTCTAATCTGTCTCGTTCCATAGCACCGAATGGTGAGATTGTGCCGGCAAAGATGATTCTACAGCCAGATGGCGACTACAAACTCGATTACATGTCCAAGTATACAGGTTCCTGCTAGATATTTTCCACCAATGATAAATTTTTCACCATAAATGTACAGGTTCATTGAGCAGCCTAGTGACATCACGTCGCAGTAGCCGGGTTCAACTGCAAGATGATTCCAGCTTGTCGTACCACCAAAATGTACAATGAATAGTGGATGCGAAACTAATGAAATATAAATTGCAATTATTAAACAGTACTTTTCTAACGTAAAATTTAAAAAAAAATAATTTTTACCGAATTAAAAATTTTAAATGAACACAAATATTTTCCAGGTCGTCACCGTGTAGAAATAACCAGCCAGGGTCACCCAATAATGGGCAGTCCGTTCTACGTTGAAATCTACGACCCCAACAAGATAAAAGTGGAAGGCAATAAGACTGGCATGGTTGGGGAGAGAATGGAGCTGGATAGTAAGCTTTGGGAAAAATTATTTTCAATTTATTAATTAATTATTTAAAAGTTTAAACTACATTTTCTCATTAAAAAATTCATAGAATTATAAAAAATAGCTAACTTTAATAATATTTCTTCAACTTTTATCTCTTCATGTCTATTTTAACTAATATAAATCTTTCTTGGCGTGAATGCCTCGCTTAACAATCACTTTCATCTCGAGTTGGACACAACGCAGCAGCTCTACAGAGACAAGCGTAACCAATCGCGCCTCAAAAATATTTTAAAAATACTATAAAATATAAATTTATAGGCCTTAGACATTTTTTAAAAGAAATTTATATAAAATTTTGAAAGAAAAAACTTCAAATATTTCTGTTTCTGGCACTTTTTGACAAAATTTAAATGAAAAAAACAGTTATAAGGAACCAAGCAGGCAAGGCAGACTTGAAGATTACAGTAAAGGGTCCCAGAGGGAACCTCATACGCTACGAAATGTTCAACACCCCGAGAGGTGAGAGGGTTGCGTACACCCCAACGGAGCCAGGGGTGCATCAAATCCACGTTAGTTTGATGTCACACGTTCGATTTTATTTGTTGCTGGAAATTGTGGGGTGATGCCAAATGAACATGATTTGGTCTATGGTTAATTGGTTAATTGGTTAATTGGTTTAGTTAATTAATTGTGATGAATTTGATGTGTGGGATTACATATAGTAGTAGGTACGTTTTTATTTTTTGGTATGAAGCGTATTGTTTCTGCGTTATTTCGTATGCATCTTGTGCGCGCATAGTTTTATCATCATTGTTAAAAGGTTGAAAAACGAAATTAAAATTCACAACTTTTTGTGATTTAATCCAGTAAAAAACATTATAACAGCTTAATAGACTATTTGAAATTTTATTTCATTTTGTTTGCACAATTGGAAGATTCAACTTTCGAATTTGAAGCAAACAACTAACAAAGGAGTTATAAAATGAAAGCAATAAAAAAAAATGAATGCCACAAAGGTACTCTTTGGGAACCTGAACGTGCCTGGCTGTCCGGTGAAGCAGGAGATATTCGACGCGTCCATCGTCATAGCCGAGGGCGAAGGGCTCGTGAAGGGCCTGGAAGATCACGTGACCTCCTTCTACGTGGACTCCAGAGGTCAAAAGGGAGAGTTGAAAGTTCAAGTTGACGGTTAGGAGTCTTGATTTTTTTATAATGCCTTCTCAAAAGCTCTTTTGTAGTGTCGCTATTTTTCGTCTTTTTTCTCAATTTTGATTCGTTCGTTGAATTTTTTGTGAAACGCACAGACATCCAAACACACACAACAAACACACACACACACACACATATATATATATATATATATATACAACTTTCAATTTTTTATTACATTCAGGACCGAATAGCATTGCAAAATGTAACATTACGGAGGAATTCGATGGCAGATATCTGGTCTCCTACATCCCAGTAGAGCCCGGGTTCTTCAACATCATCGTCAAGTGGAATGGGCGGGAGATAGAAGGTTTGCTCTTTGTTTTGTCGGTGAAAAATACTTGTTGAATCACTCTTATCACTATCATCACGGCATCACCACCGTCTTGATGATGATGATGAGATCATCATTACGTGACCTTTAGGTAGCCCTTTTAGACCGCGCATAAACGCCCTGCAGAAGGTCGGGGTCATTGGCGGCTGGGAATCCCTCTTGGATAAAAATAACCACATCACCCTCATTTGCAACGAAAAGAAGGTTATTGAGTTTGACACCAGAGGCTGCGGACAAGGTTAGCGACGCGATTGTGTAGTGTAGTGTAGTGGTTAGAGTGCCTGCTATGCTATTGCATTGACCCAGGTTTGAATGCAAGAGATGCCTACTTGTCACATCTGAGAAAAATTAAATAAATTAAAATGTAAATCGGTAAATAGATCAGCTAACTATAAATAGTAGCTCATTAATATGCAAAAAGATTATCTAGTTATTTATAATACCTCATTAATATCCAAATAGGTCAACTAACGGCGAGTCTGATTGGTCCATCTGGAAGCGTTCCACTTGACTTGAGGATGAGAGAAAAAGATATATACGTTCTGTCGTTCCTCCCCAAAGATGAAGGTTGAAAAAATAATTACAGTTATGAATAAAATTATGGATGAAATTATGAACAATTATAAATAATTATGAATAATGTTCGAATTATTCCCAAACTGCGACAGGCGAATACAGGCTTAAAGTATTTTGGAATGGCAACCAGATCGATCAGTCGCCACTGGTCGGCTACATAAGACGAGAAGTCACCAAAACAACCACAAAGACGACAACTGAACCAATTGAGAACCACTACGAGCGACAGCAGCGTACCACAACTACAACCAGCTACCAGCAGCAACAGCAGCATCAAGAAGTTAATAGTGACAAGATTATTTTGAATGGGATTGGTCTGCAACAGGCAGCTGTTAATCAGCATTCGGAGTTTTTTATAGATGGATCGAGCGCCGGACCAGGTAAATGAATGAATGAATGAATGAATGAATGAATGAATGAATGAATGAATGAATGAATGAATGAATGAATGAATGAATGAATGAATGAATGAATGAATGAACAAACGAACGAACGAACAAACGTATAAATGAATGAATAAATGAATGAATCCAATCCAGGCAGTCCCTCGATAACAATGGACGGTCCCACGGGAGAAATCCCTGTCCAATGCCTCCTCGTCACTCCGTGCAAGTACAAATGCACCTACTATCCCACAATCCCTGGTTAGTTAGTTGTTGAGATTAAAAATGAACAAACTCAGTGTTATCTCTGTCTTATTTTGTATCTTTTGGTCTCATTCAAACAAAAGTCCGGTGGGGGCAGAATGTGATTAGAAAATATGGCGGTTGGTTTGTTGCCATCATTGATTCTGCAGCGTTTGTCCAATGGCTGTTTTGCTTTGTAGGAAGGGGAATTCAATCCCAAATGTGCGCTCGATAATCTCACCGTATATTGAAATGTTTTTTTATTAATGTACTAAAATTCAAATGCTTCTTCAATGTTTTATCTTTAACTTTGCAATCCATCGCTGAGAGCTCATTTGATAAATTTGATTTCAAAAACCATCCAGGAATTTACTCTCTCCACATAAAGTGGGCAGATCGTCACGTGATTGGTTCACCCTTCATGGTCAAGGTCCAACCGGCATCCGCCTACTCAAACAGCCACTACCAAAACACCCAGACTCTGAACATCAACCCCTACCTAAGCCCCAATGGGGCTGCGACTCAATTCGAACTCACGCAGACTTACCAATCAGCCAATCAGCTCATTCCACCCTCTCTCGTTATCAATCCCCCTCCATCGATTGGTGCAGGATCGGTCGTGGGCGGTCAGATGGGTGGAGCCAGTGGAGTTCGTTGCAGTGGGGAAGGCTTGACAAGGGCGAAAGTTGGCAAGGAAATAAGTACCTACATCGACACGAGGAGAGCCGGAGTTGGTTGGTTTTGTGATGCTCTCAATCGAAATTATATTTTCTCACTTGGTATACTCGATTATTATATTTGTAAAATTTTTCAGGTGAACTGACTGCTCAGTGTAACGGGCCCAGCAAACTGGCTCTCTGTCGATTGGTGGACCCCAAAGAGACGGGGGTCTTTACTTTGTTCATAAAGCCAGTGGAAGGTGGGACGCACACACTGTACATCAAGTATAACAAAGAGAACATTAATGGTTTGTCGTCGTGTGTGTGTGTGTGTGTGTGTGTGTGCGTTTATGTGTGTGTGTGTGTGTATTTGACGTTGTTTGTTTGTTGCTATTTACAATTAAAGTAACAAAATTATAAGAAGTACTTATTGGTAGTATTAGTAGAAGTAGCGGTTGTAGTGAAAAAAATATTCTTTTAAATTATTGGTTCGTTCATTCTGCAATAATACCACCTCCACTAACTTTCTTTTAAATTTTCAAAAAATTTCACCCGACCCATCTAGGCAGTCCGTTCACTTTCAAGGTTTCCTACCCCCCTGACGCCAGCAAGGTGCAATGTTTCGGAGCCGGTATCAATCCCGGTGTGGTCAACAAATTTGACGGCGTCTTCTACGTCGATACGTACAAGGCTGGGTCGGGAGAGTTGGGCGTCATCGTCCGAGGGCCGAAAGGTTCTGCAGCCGCTATTAAGATTTTAATTATTCAATTTTCAATTTGATGAATATTCATTTTTCGACTTGATGAATATTCGATTTCGATTTGATGAATATTCATTTTCGATTTGATGAATATTCATTTTTTGATTTGATGAATATTCATTTTTCGGTTTGATGAATATTCATTTTTCGATTTGATAAATATTCATTTTTCGTATTGATGAATATTCATTTCCGACTTGATGAATATTCATTTTCGATTTGATTAATATTCTTCTTTTTTTTATTTTACTAAAATCGGCATATAACCGGATTAAAAACTAATAATAATAATAATAACTTGTTTGAAACTTTCTCCATCACGCTAGGTGGATTCAAAGTTGAGCTATCGCGCGAAACACACAATGACCGCCGAATCGTCTGCTCCTACCACCCATCCGAACCGGGCGATTACGTCATTTCTGTCACGTGGTCTGGAGAACACGTGCCCGGAAGTCCATTCCACATTCGTCTGGCGGAAACGGATATGGAACTGAAGGAGTACCTACAGAAGAACTACCAGGGTGTTACTCATCCCAACGATCGATTCGACATGTAATGAGATCGCCCGGAGGTTGTAGAGAAAAAAGTACAAAGAGAGAGAGAGAGAGAGAGAGAAAGGGAGAGAGAGAGTGAAAAAAGAAAAAGCGTACGTTTGAAGACAAAAATAAAATAAAAAGATTGTAAATAGCCGAAAAGAAATGAAAGGACAAGAAAGTAAAATATAAAAGAGCGGGGAGGGGGGAAGCAAACAACATGGACTGAGTCGTCGTCTTGCTGGTTGATAACAGTGAACGATGTTGACGTCAAAATTGACACGATGATAATGATGATGACAATGATGATGAGGATGACAGTGATTAAGTGAACGGTTGCCCCAACAAAAGAATTGAAGATGATGATGGTGATGATGGCGTAGGCCTCGTTGTCGTTGTTGATGATGATGATGACGACGACGATGATGATGATGACGTCACTGATGATGACGACGTCACTGACGATGACGTAGATGGCGCCTTCGGGAAAAGGAAGTTAAAAAAAAGAGAGGATGACGTTGATGTAAATGGATTGCAAGCGTTCAAAAACACATTCCACTTTTACGTACAAATGCACACGTGCATACGGACAAGAACACGCACACACACATACACGCACACACACGCACACCAACACACACATCAACTCATAGATACCTAAATAGCTTCTACTTTCACACACACACACACTAATACAAACTCATGTTATTTATATTCCTAATTATAAGTTGATATATGCACTTATGTAAGCAAGTTTACACACTCACACACACCCACACATATATACATATATAATATATATATTTATATAACATTATATATATGTGTGTGTGTGTGTTTGTTTGTTTGTGTGTGTTTGTGTGTGTGTGTTACATTACGTGATAACCTAACAATATGAAAAAAAACAATGTAAGATCTGATTCTGAATAACTCCTGTAATAAATAAATAACATAGCTATAATTATGTCCTAGATGTATTTGTGTGTGTGCGCGCGCGCGCGCGTGTGTGTGTGTGTGAGAGAGAAAGAGTGTGTGTGAGTGTATGTTTGTGTGTGTGTGTGTGTCGTGTGTGTGTGTGTGTGTGTGTGTGGTGTGTTTGTGTGTGTTTTGATATGTTAACGATTTTGTAGTAATGTTAAATCATACGGTACTCAGATTGGCAATGCCTAAATCATAGTAAATAATTTTTCTCTATTTTTCTCTATGTTCTAGTTTTTGTTGTTACTGTTGCTGTTGTTGTTGTTATTGTTGTTGTTGTTGTTGTTTTTGTTGTTGTTGTTGTTGTTTATTCGGCAAGTTTTTTTGCAAGGCGTTAGATTGTAGAATGAGATATAAAAAGTATATGAATGAAGTAATAAGACTGTAGTGCTGATGGTATGTAAAGCAAGCCGGAAGATAAGAGTGAGTGAGTGAGTGAGTGAGTGAGTGAGTGAGTGAGTGAGTGAGTGAGTGAGTGAGTGAGTGAGTGAGTGAGTGAGTGAGTGAGTGAGTGAGTGAGTGAGTGAGTGAGTGAGTGAGTGAGTGAGTGAGTGAGTGAGTGAGTGAGTGAGTGAGTGAGTGAGTGAGTGAGTGAGTGTAGTGAGTGTGAACGAGAAAAAGAGAGAGAAGAGAGGAGAGAATTGTAATGAAAAGAAAAAACAAATGCGCTAATGCATAACAAAAAAAAATTATTTTAAAAAGACAGAAGGTAAGATAATAATAGAAAGAAAGAGAAAAAGCAATAAAAAAGGAGTAAAAGTTAAAGAGAGAAAGAGAGAGAGATAGAGAGAGAGAGAAGAGAGAGGACGATGAGGACAAAAAGTGTCAATGGAGGAAAATAATTGGGATAGATGGACGGATGAAAAATGAGTGGAAATCGCACGGCATCATTATCATGTCATCCTCATCATTACTATCACCATCATTATCATCATCATTACTATCATTATCATCATCATCATCATCGTTATCAATTTTTTCTCGTGACATCTCACCATGACGACGTCCTAGTCCAACAGCAACATAGATACGACAGCCAAAAGAAACTTTATTCGACATCTCCTTCAAAAACTTCAAGGAAGAAATAAAATCGTGCTATATAAATAAAAAAATGGAACCAGATGAGGAGCATAGGCTGAAAAATAAGACTACGGAAATATTTCCTTGTATGCAACGAAATTGTATAAATAAGGATTTTGTTGTTGTTCTGCTGGTTTTTATGCCGTGGTTTAGGTTGCGGTTGTTGTTGTTGCTGGCAGTAGTAGTAGTGAGAGTTGTCGTTGTTGATGTTGATGATGATGATGAAAGTTATGATGATGATGATTCTAATTAAGAGGAGTGATTGTTTTCAATTTTTGTTTTCTGCTAACATAGACAAACAACGAACAAACAATCCAACAAACAACGAACAAACAATCCAACAAACAAACAAAAACGGAAGACAAATAGCGAACGAGAAGATGAACATGACGAAGAGATGTTCAAAACTTTGCTCAGAGGACGAATGAACATTCCACATAGACGGACTATGTATGAATACTAGACCAAACCTAGACTGACTATATAGAAATACTAGACCAAACTTAGACGGACTATGTATAAATACTAGACCAAACTTAGACAGACTATGTATGAATACTAGACCAAACCTAGACGGACTATATATGAATATTAGACCAATCATAGACGGACTATGTATGAATACTAGACGGACTACGCATATGTACTAGATCAAACATAGACCGACTATGTACGTGTGCATGTATGCATCTTACGTAAGTTGAAATGTCTTTGATATTTTTCGGCTTTTTTATTCTTTTTTTGTTTTGTTTTTTTCGGTCGCATGATTGATTGAATGTACTTAAAGTTATTCATTCTTTTATTCATTCATTTATTCATTCAATCAATCATTAATTCAATCATTCATTCATTCAATCAATTGTTCATTCGTTTATTTATTCATTTTTTAATGGTTTAATTTTGCATTGCAATCAATTTGTTCTGTTCTGTTAAGAAGCAATGAATTTAAGTATGTATTTGTATATATATATATATATATATATATATATATATATATATATATATATGTTTTGTACATTCATTCATTCATTCATGCAATTATTCATTCATTTGTCCAATTAGATATCCACTCAACCTTACATCCATTTATATATTGCTTCGTTTATTTATTTGTTTGTCTGTCTATCCATTTATTTATCCTGTACTTATTTTAAAGCAAGAGAATGAACAAAAAGAGGGAGAGAGAGAAAAAAAGAAAGAGAGTGATTTAGATGTTATTTTACGAGATGTCGCAGCATGCCTAATGTTAATTACATGAGAGAGAGAGAGAGAGAGAGAGAAAGAGAGAGAGAGAGAGAGAGAAGAGAGAAGAGAATGTAACGTTTGATTTCTACATTTCAGCCATATTAAGTTTGCACGCTTTCAATGAATGTAAATGAGTGAATGAATGAACGAATGAATTAATGAATGGTTGAGCTAATAGACGAATAAATGAACGAATAAAAAAAATTTACTTTTGAAAATCAAATAATGAAAAAAAATTTGGAGATAGAGATATAGTCAAGATGTTAAGTAACTGGAAAGGAATACTGAACAAACAACCTTACAAAAGCGATAAACCAATTAAAGGAAGGCAAATACGGCTTTGGAACTGTAGCACATGTATGAAGGTTGGCTTTATAGGCAGAGAAAGACAGAAAAAAAGAACGAAAGAGAGAGAAAGAGAGAGAGAAAGAGAAAGAAAGAGGGAAAGAGAGAGAAGGTGAATGACTGAATGTATAAATATATGGGCGAGTGAGTAAATAAATTCCAAGTTAAAGGATGAACACACACGCATGAACACACATATTTACACATACATACTGAAATCTCTTTATATATGTATATATATATATATATATATATATATATATATAAAGAGAGAAAGAGAGAGAAAGATAAGGAAAGAGATAAAAAAGGAGACGGAGAGAAAGAGTGCGAGAAAAAGAAAGAGTGGAAAATGAAACATATTAACCAGAAACATAAACAAAGACTACCAAAAAAAACAATGCAAAGTATTTTCTTAATAACCTGTACCAAAAACATCAAATATAAGAAGGATTTTATTTTTATTTTTCAGTTTTTGTTGTTTTTTTGCTTTAATCCAACTAATCTTTAACTTTACTAAGAGCGTTCCATTAAATCTTTTTTAAACTTACCATCTTTTGTTTCTATTCTTTGATGTTTGTTTATTAATTTCGCTGCTTAACCATCACCATGTAACAAAGAAATTTCATTTTTTGCATTAATAACAATAATAATATTCATATTTATAAATACGTACGCTGACCTGGGAAAGGGTGGTTAAGGGGTCATTTGGCGTGAGGTCAAAGGTCCAACTTTGTGAGGTCTCAAAACAGAGTTGAAACAGTTTAAAATAAATTGAAGACCTATTTTTACAGGCCATGCATGTAAGTAAATTGTGTGTGTGTGAGTATTTGTGATTATGTGTGTGTGCGTGTGTGTGTGTATGTACGTGTGAGCGTATGAATGTATTTATCATTTTTGTAATCATTTAAATGTTTGAATAGTAATATTAATGGTGATTATTTATTTCAATCTCACAGAATTGTTCGTAGCATCGCGATGATTTGATTTCATTATTAGAAAATATAATTGTCTTAAATTTCAAGTTTTTTACGTACCTTTACGTACGCACGCATATACATATATACATTCATACATGCATACATACATACACACATACATACATGCATACATACAAACATACATACATACATACATACATACATTTGGCGTGGGATGTTACGGTCCCTGGCACCATTGCCGAACGATATGTAAACCTGACAAGTAAAGAATGCGGTTTGGCCGCGGCCAGGGCAGCGGACGAGAAAATGAAAAAATATGGGAAAGCCCTCCCCTCGATGGAATTCTTGCCAATATGTATCGAGGTTCTCGGCCCGATGGACCCCAACACCCTTAAATTTCTTAAGGCAATATGTAAAATGATCAGCGTCAGATTAGGCGACAGCAGGGAACTGTTTTTCGCAACTAACCACATTTCGTGCTTGTTGCAGCGGTTCCTGCGTGTCTGTGTGCTTGAAAATATCCAACTGAATGCCGACATGTGCAATTAACGACAAATCAAAGTGTTAATCCATTTGTTACTTGATGTTTGACGGTTCAGTGTCACTCATCATGTTTTGGTTTTAACATACATACATACATACATACATACATACAAACATACATACATACATACATACACACACACATACATACATACATACATACATACATACATACATACATACATACATACATACATACATACATACATACATACATACATACATGCATGCATACATACAAACAAACATTCATGCGACAAATGTTGGAAAATACATTTCTCTTTATATCAACTCTTCCGCTTTAGCGTTCCGGTTTTTGTGTTTTTAGATGAAATATATTTCAAATTTTGAATTAATAAATAAATAAATAATAACAATTATAAGTTATAATAATTAATAATAATGATAATAACTAATTATAATATTGATTCATAATAAATTTGATCTCAAAATAAATATCATTGCTCACTTCATTCACCTCGACCTATGTGATAATAATTATTTTCAACGAAACAACAGTATTAATAACAACAATTACAACTATTATTATTATTAATTACAATTATTATTATTATTAATAATAAAATAATAAAACAAATAAAAACAAATAAATAAAGTGAAAAAGCGTGAAACTGAGAAACACGTAGTTTGGATTAGGATGGCAAGGAGAGGAAGAAGGTAGGTTTTATTTTTGTTGAATGAATGAATGAATGAATGAATGATTGAATGAAAGAACGAACGAACGAATGAATGAATGAATGAATGAATAAACAATCCAATGAACGAACAAACGAACGAATGAATGAATAAATGAATGAACATATGAACGAATGAATAATAGAATAAAATGGTGAATTGAGTAATAAATTAATGAAATTAATTGAAGAGTTGATTGTTGGAAGCAAAAGTGGTTTAATTTCTGTTGATTTCATTAGGCCGTACCAATGGGAGATTGAATAAATTGAATGAGTAAAAAACGATTGATTGAATGAATGAATGAATAAATTATTGATTGATTGAATGAATGAATGAATGATTGAATGATTGAACGAATGAATGAATGAATAAATGAATGAGTAATTAAAAATTGATTCTATAATTGAAGTGCGAAATTTATTGATTGAAGTAGAAAAAAATCTTTACCTCATAAAATCCGCAATAATTTATCCATAAACATACATACATATATACAAACAAACAATCATACATACATACATACATACATGCATGCATACAAACAAACAAACAAACAAACAAACAAACAAACAAACAAACAAACATACAAACAAATATACCCTCGTGTATGATAAATACTCTTTACACGATACGCCCTTTGTGTGAAAGGGTGCAGTTGGAATAAGCATTATAACCATAACTCACCTCCTTTGACGTCATCCTCCTTGTGACGTCATCATCATCGTGACGTCATCGCCGTTGTTGTTGTTGTTGTTACCCTCGTTTTCGTCGTTATTTACTCATTTTCATCATCGTCTATGTTGTTGTCATGGTTCTGGGTTTTATTTTGTTTTGTTGTTACTGTCATCACCACCACCATCATCACAATAATCATAATCATTACTACATCATCATTATCACTAGAATTATAATAATCATCATTATCATCATCGTTCTCATCGCCATCATCATCATCATCGTAGTCGTTATTGCCGGCAAAGTCTTCATGTTTTTCTGGTATATATAAGTAGGCAATGTATTAGTATGAGATGAGTAGTATACATGGATGTGGTTATAGTAGTAGCAGTACTACTACTATTAGTAGTAGTAGTGGTTGTATTAGAGTAGTAGTAGTGGTAGTAGTAGTAGTAGTAGTAGTAGTGGTGGTAGTAGTAGTTCTAGTAGTAGTAGTGGTTGTAATAGTAGTAGTAGTAGTAGTAGTAGTAGAAGTGGCTGTAGTAGTAGTAGTAGTAGTAGTAGTAGTAGTAGTGGTAGTAGTAGAAAAAGTAGTAATAGCAGTAGAAGTAGAAACAAAAAGTTTTATTATTAGTAGTAGAAGTAGTAGTTTTTTTTTGAGTAATCTGCCCAGAAGATAAATCTAGGATTTATGAATTAATTCGTATGCATGTATGCACTAGAGCCTCGCTTGCTAGTTTGAATGTATGAATTTTGTGAAAAATGTCTTTTTGAATGAATGAATGGATGGATGGATGGATGGATGGATGGATGGATGGATGGATGGAGGAATGGATGTGTGAATGAATAAATAAATGGATGGATGGATGGATGGATGGATGGATGGATGGACGGATGGTCCAAAATTAAAAAACTCATCACGCTAATAAGTTTCTTTTGTGTGAAATTTCTCTTCAGATTATGTCACCAAAAATTTATTCTTTTTTTAAAACTTTCTTCTAATGCGACATCGTCGTCGTCATCATCTTTTTCATCATTTTCTTCATCATCGTCATCATTTTCTTCATCATCTTTTTTATCATTTTTTTCATCATTTTCTTCATCATTTTTGTCATCTTCGTCTTCATCCTCAATCTCATCATCATTGTCATCATTCCATCTTCATTTTCCTGTTCCAGCCATCACCTTCCTTGCATAAGCTTTCGCAGGGTAAGAGAGGGACATAAAAAATATAAAAATGACTTCGATTTTTTCTTCATAATTTTTATCTTCGTCACGTCACCATCTGTGACATCATCCTCATCTACATCAATTTCATCATCATCGTCTTCTTCTTCATCATCATCTTCTTCTTCATCATCAACTTCTTCATCATCATCTTCGTCTTTATCATCATCTTCTTCATCATCATCACTATCATCTACGTCATCACCTTCGTCACTATCTACATCATCACCACCATCATCATCTTCATCGTCGCACTGACGAGTTATCTCATTGCCGTTTGATACATAGTCCGTCTATCTGTCTATCTGTCTCACAGCATCCAATATACATATCAATGAATGCAATCAGTTCATCTATAAACAATCAAAAAAACGTCAGCACTTTTTTAAACATAGACATCATCTTTGGTTGCTGCGATTTTTTGTGTTGCAGTTGATTGTGCTCTCATAGACATTTTTTGCTTTTGTTTTGTTGCTTTTGCAGACCTTTTTCAATGTTGCATTGTTGTTACCGTTGCGATTCTAGACATTCATTGATGTCACGATATAGTTGTTGTTGCTGTCAACATCTCATAACATTACCATTACTTTATTTACAAACCAAATTTTTGTGAAAAAAATCATATCCACCCAAAAAATTTACTACCACTACTATCACAATACTACAAAAGTGTTTTTAATCATCGTAATTAAGCGAAGTGGGAATTGTTTCTGAGACATTGTCATAGACATCTCGCAACACGTCTCGCAACATTTGCCTCGGTTTCGGCGAGACCATATTTTTACGAAGGTGTTTGTTTGATGGAGCCTTCTCGAAATGAGTTTTTGCATTAGCAACAACTACTCCTACTACTAAAAAAAATTTACATAACAACAACAACATCATTATCTACAACGACATCATCATCATCATCGTCCTCATCTTCTTTACCTTCATCATCCTCATCTTTTTCATCTTCATCATCATCTTCTTCTTCATTGTCGTCGTCCTTATCATTATCGTCATCATCACCATCATCTTCATCAGCTTCTTCATCATCGTCGTCGTCGTCTTCATCACTATATCGACAAGCATTTATTTAGAGACAAACTGCCTATTGACTTGAAGCGTTTATATGATTTCCCATACTTTTCATATTACGATCACGACAGAGGCGGTCATGATAACGATGATGGTGAAGATGATGATGATGATAAAACATTAATAATAATAATTATTATTATAATAATAATAATAATAATAACATTTTTCATAATTCAACCAAATCGGATAGTGCCAGCATGAACCAAGGTTGTCAACATCTAACTGGAACATCATTAAAAACATCGGCTGTGTTATCATCAGAGTCAACAAATTTTTCATCATCATCATCCTCATCATCACCATCTTCATCATCGCTATCACCATCTTCATCATCGTCATCATCATCTTCATTATCGTCATCATCTTCATCATCTTCTTCCTCATCTTCGTTTCCATCGTCAAAGACATCTTTTTCACCAACACAAACGGATAAGCGACTAAAATCATCAACATCATCATCATTATTATTCTTGTCATTTTTCTTATTATCACCATCATCGTCTGCATCATCGTCATCGTCTTCATCATCGTCATCGTCATGGCCACAAGTTCCAGGCAACCACCCACTACATAAAATAAATGGTTTCGCCTCTCTCAGGTTTCACCCGACGCCTCCACACAAGATTCCTCTAGCCCACGCATCGCCGTCCAATCAAACGATTTCAATAAACGTCTACGTAACGATACATGATTGGCTGAGGCGTCATGACGTCAACACGGACTCGCACTGTGATTGGCTGGTGAAGGTCGTGCCCTGTTGCCCTAGTGACCCCTCCGTTATTAATAATATAACAGTTGTTAGTTATAGCTACCGTGGAAAAGGTTTTAGTAATGATGATGGAAGAGTGGAAAAATCAAGACGTCATCTTCAACGTCATCGCAATCATCATCATCATCATTACCGGAAATACATCCTCTTAAAAGATCTTGAATCGTTTGACTTTAGACTGACTTTGAAAATTCAATATGGCTTCCTAATTGGCGGAAGTGACATCAAGTTTTACACTTTGAAGCGATGTGTTCCAAATAACTACTATAAAAATAATACTTCTTACGATGCTAATAAAGATACTAACAGCAGTAGTAATTGTAGTAGAAGTAGCGGTTGTAGTAGCAGCAGCAGTAGTAATAGTAGTAGTGGTAGTAATAGTAGCAGTAGCAGTAGTAGTAGTAATAGTAGTAGTTGTAGTAATAGTAGCAGTAGCAGTAGTAGTAGTGGTAGTAGTAGTGGCAGCAGTAGTAGTAGTAGTAGAAGTAGTAGTAGTAGTAGTTGTTGTTGTTGTTGTAGTAGTAGTAGTAGCGGTGATAGTAGTAGTAGTCGGGGCGAAGTCGACAATCCTGAGAACGTAAAATTTAATTTTAAAAACTCGACAAACAACTTTGAGGCTACGTATCACGATGATGACGACGATGAAGACGACGATGACGATGATGATGACGATGACAGTGGTGGTGATGATAATGATGGCGGTGGTGGTGATGATAGTGGTGGTAGGAATGATGACGATCTCGCCGAAGACAGTGAGATTTGGTGGATCCCTCAAACTTATAGGGTTAGAAAAATTTTTTTTATCTTAAATGAGAATTTTTAATACAGCATGACATGGCTCTTAAAATAAATTTATTTAATTAATTAACTAACTACTTAAATTATTTAAACCTTAATTGGTTAATTTTTTATTTATGTTAATTTTATTTAAAATGTCTTCAAAAATGAATACCGTTTGACAAATGAAATTGATTTGATTCAACAGATTCAAGTTTTGCCACTGTCATCATTCGCATCATCGTCATCGTGGTCGTCACTATCACATCACCTTCACTATTTGTCGTTTTTCACCGTTGCAAAAGCTCTAATTATAACCTTGAACGTGATTGGCTGGCTGCTAATCTGCCTATCCATCCAGAGATTTGATTGGATGAAAGTTTTTAAACGGCCACTAAGCTTAATTATCGGTTTGCTGGCCGGTAAAATAATTCTACCAATGGTGAGTGTGTGTGGGTATGCGTGTGTGTGTGTGTGTGTGTGTGTGTACGTATGTGTTGTGTATATGTGTGTGTATGTGTGTGTATGTCTGTGTATTTGTATGTTTTAGTGTATATGAATGTGTATTTTTGCTATTATTTAATATTAATTAAAAGCTTAGATTTCAAAAGTAGCGGGACAACTAAGATGATGATGAAGATGACGATGACGACGATGATGATGACGATGATGATGAAGATGATGACGATGATGAAGATGATGATGAAGATGACGATGATGAAGATGACGATGGGGATGACGACCGTGTCACTGTAGTGACCCACAATGAAATAAATCTCAATCCAATTAGCCAAAAAACAACCAACTCCACATCCCAATATCGTCGTGATTAGCGCTGCGATACTGCAAATAAATAATATGACGTCACTGCTATCATCACCATCATAATTTGTTTATTATTATGGTTATCATTGTAATTATCTTTGAGTATATTATTATAATTGTTGTTGTTGTTGTTGTTTTTTTTTTGTTGTTGTTGTTTTTGTTGTTGTTGTTTTTGTTGTTTGTCTTCCATTGCGTCTTTCATTTTTCTCTTGAGCATTGTATAAGTAGAGCCAATTTTTTGCATCCTCTTACACACATTTTTCCATCTCTTTCTTTTTTCTTCTCTCTCTTTCTTTCTTTCTCTCTCTCTTTTTCTTTCTTTCTTTTTCTTATCGGATCTCTCCTTCTGCTGCTGGTCTGTCATATTTTTCATTTGCAAATCCGCAACCGCTATTGTTCATTATCAACTTCCTTCGTTATCGTGTTCTCTCTCTCTCATACTCATGTTTTCAGGTTCTCTCCCTCTCTCTCTTTCTCTTTTTTTCTAAACCTTGTTTCTAACTTTATTTCTTTTCCTCAATTCTGTTTTATTGCCTCGCCTTACATCTATATTTTTTTCGTTCACTCTCTCTCTCTCTCTCTCTCTCTCTCTCTCTCTCTCTCTCTCTATTTCTCTCTCTCTCTCTCTCTCTATTTCTCTCTCTCTCTCTCTCTATTTCTCTCTCTCTTTTTCTCTCTCATACTTTCTTTCGTTCCCTCTCTTTCTGTAACACTCTCTCCAACCCCTGACTACGTAATTACGTTTATAGAGCTGCTAAGATGATTTGGTGGCCCCATTATTGTGATTATTCGAGCGATGAACGCTATTCTGTTTGCTCGTTGTATTCAATCAGTCATTTGCGTGTGTGTGTGTGTGTGTGTGTGTGTGTGTGCGTATGTGTGTATTCCATTTGTTCATTTATTCATTCATTCATCCATTCGTTGATACATTCAATCATTCATTCATACATACATTGATTCATTCTTTTGTTTAACTATATGCATTAGATGGCTCCTAGATTCGTTAATTCATCGTTCCAACCATTCATTCATTCATTCATTCATTCATTCATTCATTCATTTATTCATTCATTCATTCAGTTCTTTTATTCATTCATTCATCCATTCATCTAACGTATGTATTTCATGAGACTTCACAGGCTGCGCGCACATCCATGCATCCGATCATTCATCATTCCAGTTCAATCGTATATCATTTATAATATTGTTTTACTTACGAAGAAAAAAATCGTACATACATGCATACATACATACATACATACATACATACATACATACATACATACATACATACATACTTTCGGACCAACAGATAAGCACACGTCATTATTTATTAACGAATTAACAAGAAAAATAGTTAATATAACGGGTGATCCTAACGAAGGCAATTATTTAAAACAAACTCTTTCACTTTTATTACAAAAATTTAATTCCTTCTGCATTCTGGATGGAGCTGCTAGATACCTGACTGTGCGAGACCAGGGACATAGATAAAAGTTGAACTCGGAAACTATTGCATGCCTAACCATGGCTTGTTCATCAAAACGGGTTCATACATACATACATACATACATACTTACATGCATACATACATACATACATACATACACACATACATACATACATACATACATACATACATACATACATACATACATACATACATACATACATACATACATACATACATACACACATACATACATACACACATACATACATACATACACACATACATACATACACACATACATACATACACACATACATACATACATACACACACACATACATACATACATACATACATACACACATACATACATACACACATACATACATACATACGTACATACATGAAACAATATTTTTGTATGGCTGAAAATAAAAAAACTCTAAAAAACAAAAAGTAGTAAACCCACAAACGAAAATTTCTTCATTCATCATTTCATCCATTCATCATTACCCTCATTCATCACTTACTTTCCATCCATCCATCATTTTATTCATTCATTTGTCATATACTTTCCATCTATCCATTATTTAATTCATTCATTCATTCACTAAGTGAATGACATCCACACAAAAATCTTACAAATCTTTTTGTCGATAATCAATCCATTTATTCATTGTCACTGTGTTATTTTTCTCATTCATTCACCGATTTTTATATTTTTTTCATTCATTCATTCATCAATTCATGCATCAATTTATGCATTAATTTATCAATTCATATTTTAATTCACAAACTTTTCCTTTCAAAGACTTCTTCACTCACAATCAAACCATCCAATCGTCATGGTTTATCGATTCATCCATTAGTTTATCTACCCATCTATATATACATTCATTTATTTATTTAAACATCAATCCATTTTTTATTTCATACATTTATTCATTTGTTCGCCATTCATACATTCATTCATTCATCAATTCATTTACTTATCGAATCATGCATACATTCATTCGGCAGTACATTCATCTAGTTATATACATCATTCAGGCATAAATTCATTCATTCATCTACCCATCTGTTCTTCCATATATCAATTTTCATGCATTCATTCCATCATTCATTCATTCATTCATTCATTCATCAATCCTTCCACTAATTCACCCATCAGCCCGTCGTAGCTTTACGCATGTTTTGCTGAATAAATAATGAAGATAAGCTTTCTATGTGGTTTACAAAAATCTAACAAAACTTCTACCAATGTTTATTCAATCCTACTACCACAAACATTATTACAAAACTACAACTACTGCTACTACTGAGGCTGCTGCCGCTACTACTACTACTACTATTACTAATACTACTACTACTATTATTATTATTACTACTACTACTATTACTACTACTACTACTACTACTACTACTACTACTACTACTACTACTACTAGTACTAATCCTAATACTAATACTGCTACTACTTTTACAATTCAACAGTTTTGCATAGCTCTGTTAGATACCACACAGCCACCTGACCACATAGTCCCGGGTTCGATCCTACATCTATCCTCACCAAATGACTTGCTCGTAGCCTTATTGTACTGCACGTTTCTGGAGAATTGTGCTTGGAGAAAAAGTTGTAGGAGCGGCTTGGGATCGCAAGGCAAATTTTTTCCGAATCGAATTTGTGAACGATGTTATTTTCTTTTTGGCAGAGCTCGTTGCGATGAAAATAAAATATATTCCTGTGGAATTATTAGTAGTAGCAGTTGTAGTACTGATTGTAGTAGTAGTGTTGGTAGTAGTAGTAGTAGTAAAAATGGTGGTGGTAGTAGTAGTAGTAGTAGTAGTAATAGTAAAAGTGGTAGTAGTAGTAGTAGTAGTAGTAGTAGTAGTAGTAGTAATAGTAGTAACGGCAGTAGGTTTTGTAGAGTGAGTGATGTCAATACAGGAAAACATAACGACAAAAATGTGCATCTGAAGACAAGCATCGACAACAACCACAACAACCACAACAACAATAATAATAATAATGATAACACTTATCAACAACAACATGTTAATAAAAAAACTTTGGTTTACATGGAAAACAAAAAATACAACAGCAGCTGTAACCTCAAAAAGCATCCCGGAAGCAACAATGACAACAACTGCAGCAGTAGCAGCCACAACAGCCACAACGACTATCGCAGCAGCAAAAACGTCAACCACAAACTATATAGATACGTAAAATTGATGCCACTGAATGATGATAAAGTTAACCGGAACGATAGTATTTGAACAGCCAAAAACAGAATACGATAATCTGGCTTGCGATGACGTCACTGAAAACGATGATGACGTCAGCCACTATGATGATGAGGAGGAAAATGAAGAGGAGGAGAAGGATGAACATGATGACGACGACGATGATGACGATGAAACCAGTAACAATAACAGCAAACTGGACGGCAAAAGTCAGATAACCTTGAGGAAAACCAATAAAATTAATAATGTTTCGCTTCTCAGTAACAATAAAAATAATAATATAAATGACAATAATAATATAAACAATAACAAAACTATTACTACCACTATTGCTACTAATATTCCTGCTACCGTTACGTTTACAACAACTACGGCTGCCACTACTACTGCAACTACTACTACTGCAACTACTACTACTACTACTACTACTGCAACTACTACTACTACTACTACTACTACTACTACTACTACTACTACTACTACTACTATTGCTGCTGCTGCTGCTCCTACTACTGCTACTACTACTGCTGCTGCTGCTACTACTACTGCTACTACTACTACCACCACTAATAATAATAATAAGAAAAAGAAGAAATATGATAATAATGATAAATCAGCAGATGAATTTATTTCTAAAAAATTGCTTCGAGACAGCAAGAGTATTAAAATTTTGAAAAGTACAAAGTTTAGTAGTAGTAAATTGAAAGCTGCGAAAAACATTGATTATGATGATGATCTTAACGTTAATGATAGTAATGATAATGATGCTGGTGTTGCTGGTGGTGGAAGTATTGATAATGATGATGTTGACGATGATGATGATGATGATGATGATGGTAGTCTTAATCACGGTAAAGTTCTTTGCGTGTTGTTAGTCACAACTGGAAACATTTTGTCTTTTGGTTGGTTAATTTTTATATTTTCTTGAATCTATTAATCTAATTTAAAATTATGAAAATATTTAATTTTATTGTAAATGATATTTAAATAATTTTTCAATTAGTTTTCTATCAACTGTACTTTTAATCACTGTTAATAATACAACTAATAAATCACAAGCCAACCGACCAATCATATCACTCGCCGATCAAACAGCCAACCAATCAGACAACTAATCAACCACATAACCAACCAATCAACCAACAGCTTACCAGTTAATCCTTCCGCTTCTGTTCAAATCCGTCCAAACACCATTGGCCCCACCGCCATTTGTGAAATCAACAAAAACAACAACTCATCTCACAAATCCTCATTCAACTTCTTACATCCTAACCGTCTTACCTGCAGCCTTTATTTTTCTAAGTTTCGTTGAAAACAGCTTTTTATCGAGTAGGTTATTAATTATAGCTAAAAATTTAGCTAGCTTTGCTACACTATCATCGTTTGTTTTGACGGTAGCTCTGGAGTTAATGACGCGGCGAGAAATTGTAGCTCAATCGAGTCAAGCCGAGATCAACTATGCAACTATTTTTACCTGTCTTTTAATAATCGTAGCTTTATTGACTGGTTTGTTGGTCGTGAAAGTATTTTCAACTGTAGATACTAAAAAAATGAATTCTCGGAAGACAAACATCAAACTAATTTCGTTGTCTTACCCGAAAGAATTCAAACGCCTTAACAACAATAGCAGCCACAAGCAAAAGCCTCAAAAGCATCGACAACATCGACAACAAGAACATCATCCACAAGCGAACAACATTAAGCTAATGTCACTGATCACCACTGTTGTGTTTTCCAACGTTCAACTTACCACCCAGCAGACAGAAAATATAGCAAGGACGATCTTAAAAGACGAACTAGACGTCGTATTATCGTTAAAAGTTCCATCCATTTGTTCACTGCAGTGTCTTCTTCTACTATTTATTATGTGGTTGCCTGCGGTAGCGATCGTCAAGTGGGCCTGTGGAGACCGAGTTCGAAAGCATGGAGGGGACTGCTTGCTCGCGCAGTTCAAGTCTTGTCTGTGGAGATTGAAGAAACCAGATAATCGAACAAACGCCTGTGAAAGTTGATGAAATAATAACAACAACAACAATATTATTATTAATAATAAATTAATGAAAAAATAAAAAATAATAATAACTGATGAAGATGATTATTTCGGATCTCCTTCGCTACGTGACAAATTCAGCGGACGTCTTTGATAAATGAACGCGATGAAACTGTGTCAAGGCGGAACACATCCGCTACTGCCTAGTAACACTACTATGAATATCGTTCGTAACGCTGCTAATACTACTATTCCATGGCACTAATGTTATAAATACTGGTGGCAGTAATTGGAAGGTGTTTATCATATATATAAATATATAGAGAGAATATAGGTTATATTCTATATATATATAAATGGTTTTTGTGTATTTATGAAGGAACATCATATTTGAATAATTTCTAAATGTTCCGGTTTCACTAATCTCTTCAGGATGAACTTGACCTTCTTGACTTTCTCGTTCACTTTAACAGTACTACTTCTATAAACACTACACCAAATTTTACTACCCTGTATGTGTGCTAACTGACTACGAATACTTCTAAAACACCAGTACTGAAACGTCTTTTCTCTGGATTTTTATTTCATAACAACACAAATAGGGAAAATAATTGTACGTATGTATGTATGTATGTATGTATATATTTTATTATTTATTTAAAAAAAATAATATTAATATAAAAATTATTAGAAAGAAAAATATTATATAAAACTACTGCTGTCTTTGTAAAACTATATATATATATATATATATATATATATATATATATATATATATATATAACTCAATTAAATAGATTTATATTTATATTGATATATATATAAGGAATTCAATGGTAATTGTATTGTAAAACAGAAAATAGAGAAAATGAAAGGTAACAAATAATAAAAATAATAAAATGTAAAAAGAAAGAATAAGAACACAAACGAACGACGCACTAGAAGCCATGAATGAATGAATGAATGAACGAATGAATGAATGAATGAATGAACGAACGAACGAACGAACGAATGAACAGATAACATGATCATGTTTGTATGAATGGTAGAGAGAGACATATAAATATATATGTATGTCGTTATTAACAATGTTATTATTTAGAAATATCAGCGGATTGATTGATTGATTGATTGATTGATTGATTGATTGATTGATTGATTGATTGATTGATTAGTTGATTGGTTCTTAAAGCCTTTCTTGATAAACAATTGCTATTAATTCTGTCAATCAAATTACAATTAAACATTAGCATTATATATATATATATATATATATATATATATATATATATATATATATATATAAATGTATATATATATAAATTGTTCGGTAACATCTTATAAATATATTCACAAATGCTCTTATTATCATCGTCCGAAACAACATCATCACAATCATAATCGTCCTATCCTGCCAATCAAACTCCAATTAAATCAAGTCCCTATCCTGTCAACCAACCAACCAACCAATCCCATTTAAATCCCAATCTGAGCCAGGATTAAATGTTAACATTGATAGATTGTGGTACAGGCGGTTGGTAGCATTTTACATGCTCCATTGGCGTAGTTTCAGCAGTGCTCTCACAGGATTTCATGTACTTGTTCAGCGTGGCGAAGATCTGACTGTTCAGGATTTGAAACTTCCGGATCCGGTCGGCCATCTTCTTTAGCGACTGCAGAAGATCATAAATAGACTAAATCAACAATCAACGAATGTGTAAATCTACAAAACAGCAATCCTTACAGATTTTAATTTAATGGAAAAATGAAAAATCCGAAGAGATGTTTAAATACCGGCGGAACCACATCTACTAACAGTTCCCTTAATGACGTCATCCTTCATGTCGACCCTGTTCATCTTCAGTAGGTGGTAGGAGAAGTCCAGGGCCTCGAATCTTCTCTGCTGATCCAACAGGGCTATGATGGCGCACCCTGCCCAGTTGAAGCCCTCTCCGAACAACTGCCTGATGGAAATTGTTATCATTAAAATCATACCATTTTGAAGCATACTATGCATGCTGTTGATATTGGTTAGTATAGACAAAAATGACACTGAAGAATTGAAGATGTGGCGGCTAACTAACTCAATAGTGAACTCATTCTCTCCGACTGGCATGCAGAAGACGAACTGCACAGCACTCCAGACCCTATGAAACTCCACGCACTCGTCAACAAACATCACCCCATTGGCAGGGCTCGGAGTGGGGGCACCGAGAATGCCAGGCGGTGCGCCGGACCAGATGCCATCCTCCAAGTAGGACCGTACCCTCGTGAGGACAATCTCAAATACTGAGAGGCCACAGCAGAGGCGCTCGCGGGTCAGGAGGTCGCCATCGGTGGCTATGTCCGCCTGACGACCGGTGCCAAGTTTCGAAATGACAGGAACGACTTGAAGAGCGGCGTACTTGGCTTCGAGAAGTTTCATCATGGCTTTCAGTTCCGCTTCTCGGTCCTTCTTATTCTCGCCCTCTTTTAAATATATATAATTATACATATACATTTTTATAAAAAATATATAATTTTGTCGCAATCTATAAAAATGATTTACAACAGATGATGATTATGTCAGTAAGGTACCTTTTGGTGGTATGAATGGCTTGGGGATGATGTTCTGGAAAGGTGCTGCGTGTTTTAGGTCGCCCACTTCTTCCTGCGACTGGATGATTTCAAATCAATCAATCAATCAATCAATCAATCAATCAATCAATCAATCAATCAATCAATCAATCAATCAATCAATCAATCAATCAATCAATCAATCAATCAATCAATCAATCAATCAATCAATCAATCAATCAATCAATCAATCAATCAATCAATCAATCAATCAGTCAGTCAATCAATCAATCAATCAATCAATCAATCGTTCAGCCACCACCGAATCAATCAATCAATTAATCCCCATCCAAACCAATCCACCCACCCAGCCAATCACCCACCGACCGACCGACCGACTAACCAAACTCTGTTCAACCAGTAAGCAGAACAGTATAGCATTCCCGATCTCGCGAAAGACCTGGAACATGTCAGTCCTCATCTCCGGATACTGAATGATGTTCGTCAGCTGGGCGAAGAAATAGTTCAGGGCACCTAAAATTTATTATTATTATTATTACTATTATTAAAATAATAATCGTACATTATATTTTATATCTTATTTATTTACACTCTGATATATAATTAATAATTTTCGATTGATTTCATTTGGATTTTATTTTTTCGGTAAATAAAAGAATGTTCCCATTATTAGGTTATTATTAACAGTATCATTATCGTCACAATCATCGTCGCCATCATCATCGTCGTTATCAAGAGATGCTTAATCGCTGGTGTTATTATCATTGTAACCGTCTTAATCATCACTCTAATCGCCCTCATCATCATCATCATCGTCGTCGTCATCATCATTATCATTACCTGGCGATCCGTAGTCATATCTCGGGAGCTTGCAGACCTGAGGCATGACGGATCTCAAAGTCTTCACGTACTCCATCAGCGTTCCCTGGATCTTTTCGGAATCAAGTTGATGATGATGACGATGACGACGATGATGACGACGATGACGATGATGATGACGACGATGACGAAATGAAAATGATAGTTATGGTTTATCGCTGATTAGAAATGATATACTAAAGAAATGAGAAACGATACTAAGATAGTAGCACTACTAAACTAACGAAAAAAAATGAGAAATGATACCAAGATAGTAGCGCTACTAACGAAAGAAATGAAAAATGATACTAAAATAGTAGCGCTACTAACGAAAGAAATGAGATATGATACTAAGATAGTAGCGCTACCAACGCTTGAATGATGACGGTGGTGACGATTTGGTGGCCACTCTCTTTACTACCTATGACGATACGACAACTACTACAACAACGATAATGCTGATGACGACGACAATGGTGATAACGATAAAGACGACCTACCAAATTCTTGACGATCTTCAAAAGTTCTTCAATGACGACGGCGATCCCCTGGTAGCCAAGCAGGCGAGCAACGACGTGAAAGTGAGGGTAGCCAACGAAGTTGTTGTACAGAGAGAAGATGGCGTTGAACGAGGTGCTAAGGTGCTGGTGGTGAGTGAGTGAGTTAGTGAGTGAGTGAGTGAGTGAGTGAGTGAGTGAGTGAGTGAGTGAGTGAGTGAGTGAGTGAGTGAGTGAGTGAGTGGGTGAGTGAGTGAGTGAGCGAGTGAGTGAGTATGCGAAAGAGTGAGCAATAGCCGAGCAATGAAACCTTGGTACCCCAGAGGAACTGAACAGAAGTACTTGGCGGCTTGTCTCGAGTTATCTGAGCCGAGAAAGACATGGCGGTCTTCACAAATCTGTAAAAATGATGATGAAAAATACGATTCAACGATCAAGACACGTGATGTAATGATGAAAGTGATGACCGATGATGACAACAACGATGATGACGATATTGATCACGAGAACGATGCCAGCCATTCTAGGATGGCCCATCAGCCATCCAGCCAACCTGTTAGTAGCGGCATTAAAACAATAATTCGGCAGGAAATCATAATTCAACTCCCAGAACACATGTAGAGTTATACGACCGTAGGGGGCCGAGACATTGTGATTGGCCTCTCTGAACATCGAGTCAAAATCATTGAGTGATAGGTGCTTAGCCAATAGCGAGTGAGCTAGGCGGTTGCATTCTATCAGAGCCTCTAGTTCCTGGGTTGTGATTAATTGACCAAAGATAGAAAAAACGAAGAAACTTTCAACCAGCCAATCTAAAAATCAATCAGCCAATTAGAGAATCAATCAGCAAATCAATCAGCAAATCAATCAGTCAATCAGATTACTGACCACAATGCCAGTGAGGTCGCCACTTTCAAATCTGCTGATGGCGTAATCAAGAGATTTCTGGAGGGAGGCGTTGATGCGTTGTGACACCAGGCGGTTCAAATCTATCGACCTGCCTAATAACTGGCTCACGAATAAAATTCATCATTGATAGATTTATTATTGACTGACTTATTAAATTAAATTAAATTATTTATTTATCAATTAATTAGGTAATCATCTATGCCATTGATGAAGACGATGGCTAGGTACAAAAACAGACAAAGACAGACACACATACACACACACACACACACACACAAACCTGTATATGCCTCTGCTTAAGAAGGGTGTGATACCTATTCGCAACTGGGTATGGAATTTTGACTGATAATTTGGCACACTCGAGTCGGAACTTTTTGTCCAGCATGATGCTAGGTGGATGAGTGAGGAATGAATGGGTGAGGAATGAATGAGTGAGGAATGAATGAGTGAGGAATGAATGAAATGAATGAACAAACAAACGAACAAACAAAAGATGAACGATGAACAAACCTTCCAGCCCAATGCTTATAGTAGAGAAAGACCTGATCACTCAGCTTATAGACGAACTGATCGAAGCACAAATTCACCTAAAAAAAACATTTAAATTTTCAGTATTTATAATAATAGGCCAATACTACCGAAAGATGCTAAATAAGCGTTAGATCACAAAAACACTAAGTGATAAGTTATAGATTATAGAGATGCCGAATATGTGATAGATTACTTTGATTACTTAAAGGAATTAATAAATGAAAAAAGAAATGAATGAATGAATGAATGAATGAATGAATGAATAAATAAATGAATGAACGAACGAACGAACGAATGAATGAATGAATGAATGAATGAATGAAAAGAACGAATGAAAAAATGAAAGACCTCTGCTTCGACTTCATCGTAGAGGAATTGTTTTTTGAATCGGTGCAGGGCGTAATGTGCACTGTCGTTGTACAAATCAAGAGGGCAGAGCACGTACCTGGTTGTCAATCAATCAATCAATCAATCAATCCATCAATCAATCAATCCATCAATCAATCCATCAATCAAATATAATCAGGCCAAAAAACTTCAACATTACAATCCCGAAGACATGAAAATCCCAGCATGCCAATCGCACATCCCACTCACTCCATCATGGAGGGTTCCTTGGTTTCGAGGATATGATCCGTCAGTATCCAGGGCAGGGACATTTCGATTGGGAACTGGATTTTTTTGCCCATCGTCATCTCCAGGTAGAACTCTCGGTACCAGAGTTGGGAGAGTTCGCAGCATTCGTGCAGAGTCTCTGAGGTAATAAGAGCAAGTAAGGAGGATGAAGTTTGTTCGTTCATTCGTTCATTCATTCATTCATTCATTCATTCATTCATTCGTTCGTTCGTTCATTCGTTCATTCATTCATTCATTTGTTCGTTTGTTCGCTAATAGAGAATTCATTTATTTCTCTTAAACCCTTTTTTCAAAACAAGACGAAATGAGATTTTATTCAGCAACCATGCAGAGATACAAGAGAAAGACAAAGCAACAGAGAGTGAGGATGGACGGTGAACTAACGATTAAAGCCCAGCAGGTAGGGCCAGAAGAAGGAATTCTTATGAAACTGGTCAATGAGTGCCAGATGGTTGATGTCAACCTCCTTGCGAAGGGTCTTCTTGCCCCCACCCTTGTCCGACAATAAGGATTCCAACATGGTTCGTGCCATGTATAACTATTGTGCAGGAGTGAAAGAGTGTATGGATGAATGATTGATTGAATCAATGAAAGAATGAATGGATAGAGTAAAGAAATGAATGAATGAATAAATGAACGGATGAATGAATGAAAAAATTAATGAATAAATAGAGTAAACGAATAAATGAATGAACGAAGAAAATTAAAAACAGAATGAAGAAAAACCTGTGTGCTGGAAGGTCCGACATTCCTTCTGGGCACCTTAATCTTGAAGTTATCGTCGTCTTTTTTTCCGCGCAGGGCGGGGTCGTCCTGTGGTTCCATCCCTCTCAACCAATCAGCGCACGTCTCCCGGACTGATACTATGATGCTGACGTTGATGATGACGATACGAAGGAAGATGACGACGACGATGATGATGATGATAAATATGATGAAATGATGACGATAAAAATGGTGATCACACACGTACGCACACGTGCACACACACACACGCAAACACACACACGCACACAACCTTTTAATCAGATCCTTCTTATTCTTGATAGCCTTCCTAAGAGGATCTCTCAACTGAATTTGCACAAAATCCTGAAGTTCGGCATAGACATTCTTGCGTATGGCATCCATGAAGACTGCCTCCATGCGTAGCATCAGTACCTGCAGACCTTTAATCATACCTATGACCTCTATCAGGGCATACTTCTCCTCGCTAGTATAGTTGTACCTGGTTGACTGGTTCGAAATTAATGCCTTGATTGGTTCGTTGACTGGTTATGAATGAATGTGATTGGTCTGTGGTGTGGAATGGCCGGCTGGATGGTCGTAAATGAATGTGATTGGTCGGTTGCAAATGAATATGATTGGCTGGTTGAATTGGTGATGCATATTAAACAAGCTGGCAAATCCTCATCAACATTCAACAAAAAAAAAATCATCAAACATTCAGTCAAACAACTAATAAACCCTTATATACATTCAAATCAATCAACCAATCAATCAATAACAACCAACCAATCAACTAGCCAATCAATAACAACCAATCAATCAACCAGCCAATCAATAACAACCAACCAATCAACCAGCTAACCAATAACAACCAACCAATCAACCAACCAATCAATAACAACCAACCAACCAATCAATAACAACCAATCAATAACAACCAATCAATAACAACCAATCAATCAACCAGCCAATCAGCTGACCCTTTCATATTCCTCAGCATCCTGAGGGCAGTCCCGATTTTGATGATGGTCAGTTGGGTGCAGTAACTTCCACGAGTACTGATAATGATGGCGAAGACGACGATGATCATGATGATGACGATGATGGTGGTAATGATGATGATTATGATGATGGTGGCAATGATTTTAATGAGGATGACGAAAACTAACCAATTCCATTATTCTAGAATTCCACGATGATAATAACTGCAATCCTTGCAGAGCCAGGGCTGATGTGTTTGAGATATCATCATCATCATCGTCGTCGTCTTTATCATCATCATCATCATCACCAATTTCATCATCATCATCGCCATCAATTCCATCATCACCGTCGTCATCATCATCACCAATTTATTAATACTTGTTAGTTTTCTATTCTCTTCATCATTTCTTGTTAGCTCTCTGGACGTCGTTATCACCTAGAGTTCAATCAATCAATCAATCAATCAATCAATCAATCAATCAATCAATCAATCAATCAATCAATCAATCAATCAATCAATCAATCAATCAATCAATCAATCAATCAATCAATCAATCAATCAATCAATCAATCAATCAATCAATCAATCAATCAATCAACCAACCAATCAATCAATCAATCAATCAATCAATAAATCAATCAATCAATCAATCAACCAATCAATCAATCAATCAACCAACCAACCAGCCAACCAATCAACCAACCAATCAAACAACAGACCAACCAATCAGTCAATTCATCAGCCAACCAATCAACCAATCACCAACCTCATTACTATGCCTGGCCAGTTCACTAATGTACCTGACATGCTCCTCCCTCATCATCTCCAGGGATGGCAGCAGTACTGCCTGCGGACTAATCTGATTGGTTGGTTGATTGGTTGGTTGGGTTTTTATTGGTTGGTTAGTTAACTAGAAGGCTACCTGATTGGCTGATTAGTTAGTTAATTGATTGAGTGATAATATGTATGGCTCGTGATTGTTGACTCCATTGAATGATTTGATGAATACGAGTTTAGAGAAATAAATAAAACAAACCTAGTTAAAAATGAATCAATCAATCAACAAATCAACCAACCAACCAGCTAACCAATCAACCAACCAATCAATCAACTAACTTGGGCAGACGTACAGAGCGGCCATTTTGAAGAATCGAAGTTAAGACTGGTCTTGATGTAGTTGAATGGGGCTATCTGCATGTCGCCAAATAATGGTACAACCTCGATTTGCTGGAAGAATGATGATGATGACGGTGACGATGGTGATGTTGATGATGATGATGGTGACGATGATGACGATGATGATGAAAATGGTAATGATGACGATGATGACGATAGTGATGTTGATATTGATACCACTCCACCTTGAATATCCTATCTATCTTGGCAAGATTGAGTTTCTTTTTGTTATCCAATTTGTAGATGGATACATCCTTCAGCTCCCTACTATCCAGAATGAACAATCCAAATCCCATTACCTGAATATGAATGAATGGATGAATGAATGAATGAATGAATGAATGAATGAATGAATGAATGAATGAATGAATGAATGAATGAATGAATGAATGAACGAACGATCGAACGAACGAACGAACGAATGAAAGAAAGAATAAATGAATGAATGATTGAATGAATGAATGAACCGAATAACGGACAAATAGATGAACGAAAGCTAAAATGCGTAAATGAATGAGAGTTTAAGTGTAAGCGGCGAATACATAAACAAAAATGAACGAACGATTGAACAAACAAACAAACGAATGAAAGAATGAACGAATGAAAGAACGAACGAATGATAGATGAATGGAAAGATGAATAAATTTAGCAAAAACCAGCCTACCTTAACGAGCATATGTTTCTCACTAGGCAGCAGGTACATGCGATTCTCATAGAGATAGACTGCTAAGTTGACAACTTCGCATATCAAGTCTTCAAATCCTGGTACCTTCAATCAATCAATCAACCAACTGACCAATCCCACACGCACACACACACACGCAGGCGCACGCACGCACGCACACACACACACGCAGGCGCACGCACGCACGCACACACACACCTCTTGCACAGCCTGTCTCAACATATCCCTGATCTTATTCTGTGTGGCCAGGAACATTGAGAGGTTCTGTGATTCTTGTAACATATTCGGATCTGACATTACTTTCAGAAATTGGGCTGCTCTGATTGGTTGTTGATCGGTTAGTTAATTGGTTAGTTAGTTAGCTAGTTGACTGATTGGCTAGTTGGCCGAATGGTTGATTGGTTAGTTAGCTAGTTAGTTCAGTGATTGGCTAGTTTACTAGTTGGTTGGCTGGTTGGTTGGTTGATTGAACAATAGACGTGAAACAAAAACATTGGCAAAAAATTGATTTAATTTAATATGGCTTAATATATAATTAAATCAATCAATCAATCAATCAATCAATCAATCAATCAATCAATCAATCAATCAATCAATCAATCAATCAACCAATCAACCAATCAATCAATAAGCCAACCTCCTATAGGCAGAATAATCATTCTTAACAGAAGACTTCATATTTTTCAGCTCATCCAACACAGCAAACATGTTAATGAACTTACCTTGAACAAATGAATGAATGAATAAATGAAAGAACGAACGAACGAGCGAACGAATGAATATCGAATAAATAAATGGATAGATGAATGAACCAAACAAACAATCAACAGTTAATAAATTAACCTATCAATCAGTCAACCAACAAACAAATCAATCAATCAACCATCTAACCAACCAACCAACCAACCAGCAAATCAATCAACTAACCAACTAACCAATCAACCAACCAATCAATCAACCAACCAACTAACCCAGCGTCAATAGATAAGCTTCAGATACAAAGTCATTTTTCTTCTCCTTATGACATAATCTCTTTACCTCGTCGCTAAACTTACTGATGCAAGCTCTCTGATTTGGAATATTTTGTCATATATAATAAATAAATTATTTATAAAATATAATAAATAAATAAATACACAATTAAATGAATTAATTAACAATAAAAATTAATTTGTTTAATATTTTTCTAAAAAAAAAATGTAAAAATCATTTTTAAAATTTTCGTTAATCTCTTGTTATTTTCAAATTATTTCAATATTACAAATGAAAATAAATATAAAAATATAATGCAATAATAATATCTTTATATTATTAATTCATCCTACCATGAATTCATTCACTCAATCAGACATTCATTCGTCCATACCATCATCCATCCATCCACAAACAAACAAACAAAAAAACAAACAAACCTGAAAATACATCAGATTCATAAGTTTCTGAACTTCAGGGCCAAGAACTTCAACAGTCTTTTCGTAAATTTCAACACGGTTCGGCTGCTCGTTTGACTTTATCTGAAAAAAATCAATAACAATAATAAAAAGGGCGGTTAAGATAATAATGGTTAAGATGCTTGGCTCTGGTGTTGCATAGACCTGGTTCGAGTGCAAACAGATCCTCTGTCTAACAAATTCAAAGTGTGATGGAGCACGAACTCACATGTGTTTGGATGATAATAATAATAATATTTAAAAGAGTAATAAAATATAAATAAATATAAAATAAACATCAGAAAAAGGAACATTTAGATAAAATACAAAAGACCAAAAAACTGAATAATTATTAATTATAATCTAATTATAAAGATTGGACCCCTTCAGACTGACCAACCCAAGATCCAGTCAGTGTACACTAACCTGAGGTAGAGCCCTAGAACAACACCTCCATGTGTACAACATTATGGCATATCCCTCCCCCTCTTCTAGACATTCATTCTGTCGTTTTCAAAAATCACAAAAAACAATTAATTAATTATTTATTTTAATTTTTAACTATTTAATTTATTTATTAAAATAATTAATTATTTATTTATTTGCTTATTTAGCCATGCCAACATCTATCATACATACATATTTTTACATACATATACACACACACAGACACACACATGACTCTAACTAACCAGCTTGGCATGAACAGTGGCCTCCTCAATGTACCTGGCCATCCCGGTGACAAATGCACCCCGATCTTCAAAGTTAGTGTGCTTGTTGACTTGGTAGTGTATGGAAAGGGGAGCAGCGTCAATGCATGGCTGCTGATCCGGCAGAGGAAGTTCATCCAGGACGTCAACATTTTGCATGGCGTCATTTAGTGTTATTTTATCCATGGCCATTTTTTAGTAGATTTATTTTAAAAGATAACTTTTTAAACGTGTAAATTTGTTTGAATCAGAATAAATAACCAAACAGACTAATTTTACTGTCTTATTATCACTTAATTACTTTTTCAAAGTTAACTTTTTTACACAACATCATGAAGAAATCATGATCATGATCATCCTTACAAAATGATTCAGTCAGTGTCAGATTGGATCCTTTTAAATTTGTAAATTTTTTTAAATATACGATTTAAAATTTTAACAAAAAAACAACGCAAAAGGAACTTTAAATGAAAAAATCCAGCATTCAATTACGAAATATCAACTTTTAAAACTTATTAAAATATAAAAAATGGCAACGTAAACAAACACTAAAAGTGCATTCTATTTAAATTTATATTAACATTGAGTCTAACTAAATGGCAAAATGTGGTATAAGCCTATGGATATTTGTAGTGTATAATTTTATATATATAAAGTTTATACCTTGATGCATACCACTTATACCAAGGCAATTTTTCTGTGATGTACTATACTCATTAAACTATAAGGAAATATCGTCTGCTCTACATATATATCCAATCAATCAATCAATCAACCAATCAATCAATCGATCAATCAAGTCAGTCAAACGATCTAATTTATAACCTATGAAATAAACCATTCTATTAAAAGATGCTTTTCAAGTATATTTACCTGGAAAACATTTAAATAGTTATACATACATATATATGTGTGATATACACACGCACTTACACATAAATACCTGAGAACAATATAGTTATTACTAATTATTATTAATTATTAATGCCCAGGTAGTGTAAGAAAACTAGGACGTGGTAATTATACAAGGTTAACATCAACAACAATGCAATTATGTACATATTCATCTTAATAGTAGTAATAACAATAAATAATAATAATAATCTTATTATTATTTTTATTACTATTAGTAGAGCAGTTGTCTACACAAACCAACACACACACACACACGCACACGCACACACACACACGCACACGCACACACACACACGCACACACACATGCAGACACGTCATAGTAGAAGCACACACATACAGACACACAATAGTAGTAGAAGTGATAGTAGCAGCAGTAGTAGCAGCAGTAGTAGCAGCAGCAAAAGTTGTGCTACTGCTACAAAATATTGGTAATAACAGTACCAAATACAAATGTTCATTACTCAATATAGTAATATAATTAATTTCAATATTTACGTTTTACTACAGAAAAAAATTCATGACAATTCTGCTTAGAGGTACTTTTTACTTACTAGTGAAATGAGATGGATGATCTCTATATCTATCTACACACAATGCACATCTGCTCGGCCAAGACGTTATCATTATTATTATTATTATCATTATTATTATTATTATTATTATTGTTTTTATTGTTGTTGTTGTTGTTATTGTTATTATGAATACGGCTGCTGTTAAATGAACGTTATTATCGTTATTATTGTTATTATTATTATTATTATTATTATTATTATTATTATTATTATTATTATTATTATTGATATTATTACTCCTTTTATCATTGTTATTTGACTATATGAGACGTCAAACCAAAATTTTCATACACACACACACACGCACGCACACACACATACATATACATACCTACTAACATAATCATATACTAAAGCCATCTTGTCATCAGACCAATACTATACACGTAAATACATAAGCATATACAGTGCTTGTACAGTGTACACACAAACACACACATGCATATACCTATATATATATATATATATATATATATATATATATATATATATATATATATATATATATATATATATATATATATATATACAAACACACACACATACATATATACATATTTAAGAGAAGATGCAATCGAGAAATGATTGATACATATAGAACATTTCTCAGAAAATTATAAGACTTTTGCTTAAGCTGGCCAAGTGTAGGTCGTGTGTTGAATTAAATAATTATTTATATATAATATTCATATAATGATAATGAAATAATAATAATAACAACAATATATAAATTATAAATATTCATAAATTTTTATAAATATAGCCATTGACAAAGACAGATTAAATAGGCGTTATAATTATTGGTATTTTATTTTTAAAATTATTGAAGAAGAGAAAAAAGAAGAACAATAAAAATCATCATTATTATTATTTACTTAACTTATTGTCCTTATCTACATAATTACATATAATTATAGTTATAATTATTTTTATATAAATTTGAAACTTCAAAATTGGATGGCTAGGTTTACAATAAGAAGCTACCCTGTATCGACAGCCAACAGTTATAAAAACGACAACAATAATAATAACAATAATAACAACATAAATAATAATAATAATATAAGTAATGATAATATTATTATTAATAATAATAACAATAATACAATAGAGCATGGTTTACTCTATAAGCTCCAGCCAAATCACATCAGCCAAAGTCACAGTAATCATCATCAACATCAACAACATCATCAACAACAACAACATCAACAACAACATCAACAACAACATCAACAACAATGCAATTGGGCTGTTTCTAATTCGGCCGATGATTTGAAGTCTTTACTCGAGTCAGAATTTGCGAACGAACGAAGTGATGTTTTAGTTGATGTTATCAACAACAACAACAACAGCTGCTGCTATCACAACAACAACAACACCAAACTCAACAACAACAACAACAACAACAACAACATAGATTACCACAATTCAACGTCGGCAACCATCCCGTCAACGAATTCGCTGTCCAAGGAAAGGATGACAATCAAAGAGGAAAGCGAAGATGACAAATCGTCATCGACAAATTTTTACAACAACGAAGATGATACTGCCAACCACGACACCATTCCGTTCATTAATCAAAATTTAAAAAACACCAACGCTAACAACTACTACAGCCACAACAACCACACCACTAGTAACTACAGCCACAACGACCACGAAAACGCGACAATAGTCAACATAGTCTCGTCTACCGACAACATCATCGTGCCATCGAAAACAGCGCAAAAGGCAGCAGCAAAAATCCTTCATGCAACCAACTTCCCAAAAACAAATCCCAACAACGCAAACAGGAAAAACTCCCGATGCTCCTTTTCCTCCACACTTTCAACACCCTGGGAGTGCAGCTCCAGCAACAAAATCGTTCACCAGCATCCCCCGAGGAGCTCTCTTTCGAGCGGCAACCCCGCTCCGGCCGTTGCAGCCGCTGAACAAGCCACACGAAGTAACTGTTTTCTGCCTTTGTTGTCAGATCCGCCGAGTGCCAGTAGTGCGGTTTTTGGAGGCGGTTCACCGTTTTCTTACTCGCCTGTGGCCCAGCGTGGTCGTTCGTTCGCGACACGCCACACGCGACGATTAGTCTTCAAGGATGGCAGCTGCAATGTGACTAGCGCTAACGTCACGCAGCGGAAGAAGAAATATTTGGTGGATATTTTCACAACGTGCGTCGATATGAGATGGAGGTACTTGCTGGCTCTGTTCGCTGGGACTTTCCTGGTCAGCTGGTTCTGTTTCGCACTCTGCTGGTACGTGATTGCCATCGTTCACGGCGACCACTTGCTGCCCAGGCATGCAAATGACGAGTTTCAAAGCATAGAAGGTAGCAACGCTGAAGACAGGGTAGAAAGTGCCACAAAGAGGAGTGTTAATGAAAAGGATAACAGTTACGACAGTGAGGTTAGAGATAATTTTCCGAAACTTCACAATCCTGAGAGTTCAACATGGCAGTCAGGAACAACGTCATCCATTAATTTGATATTTCGATCCACTTCAAACCCTTCCAATTCGACAGCTGGTCATAAACATGCAGTTGACACAAAACAACTGAAAATGGCAACAACGACAACAGCAGAACACATCTTCACTAATCTTCCACATCAACAACAACAGCAGCAGCAGCAGAGGCAAAAAAATGATTGTGAGCCTTGCGTTAGCAACGTTTACGATTTCGTCAGTGCGTTGTTGTTTTCAATTGAAACACAACACACAATAGGTCAGTGTTGTGAAGTGATGACGACGACGACGATGAAGTTATGACGTAAATATTGCGAATAATAATCTATAATTATTATTATATATTCAACGTAACTCATAATTACCCTGATCACTATGTTTATCAAGGATGTTTTGCTTAAGAGTTTATCGATTTAATGACTTAATTGTGTTTATTATTCATACGAAGATGTACCATTATTGTATCTTCAGTGCGATTATTTAAATAACATTCATTCTCTACAATTATAAATCATCTCAACCTAAATTAATTATCTCAACCAAAATTAATTATCTCAACCAAAATTAACCATCTCAACCTAAATTAATCATCAACATAAGTGAAGCCAGATGTAAAATAAATGAACTTTAACCTCTAGGATACGGTTATAGGGTAGTGGAGCCAACATGCCCACAGGCCATCATTCTCTTAATGGTCCAATCATGTCTGGGCGTTTTTGTCCAGTCCCTAATGACCGGACTGATCTTCGTAAAACTTTCTCAACCCAAGAAAAGAGCCCATACGATTATGTTTAGCAGGAAGGCAGTCATCACGAAAAGGGATGGGGTGTACTGTCTGCTGTTCCGTGTGGGGGATATGAGGAGGTCACATTTTGTCGGGACTTCCATAAGGGCCCTACTTGTCAAGGATCGGTTGGTTTTATCGCTGCTTCGCTATTTGTTTCGTTCTCTGTTAATGTAAGTTTTGTTTTGTTTTGGCTTTTATCTGTTTGTATTCTTGTTGGGAAAAGAACTTTACGCACCATGCTGTATGTAAGTCGTGTAGTATAGAGTCGTTGGGTTTGATTGAGAGTTGTTACGAGCTAGAGTTTTTTAGTGGGTGTTTTATTGAGTGGCCTGCCGTTTGATGCCATAAATCGATCGGTTAGCAGTTCTCTAGTTATTGAAATTGAATGAAATAAAAAGAACTGACTGATTGGATAATTAATAATTTTATTTCTTTCTGATTCATTCCGCATTCATGCATTCACCCATCCATCTACCCATTCATACATTCATTCATTTATCCACCCATCAATTCATTAATTCACCTACTCAATCAATCACTATAGAGTTACTCGGGAAGGCGAATGCATTCCGTTATGTCAGTTTCCTCTGGACGTGAAGACTGAAACATCGGCCGGAGATGCCTTCGTCTTCATGGTCTGGCCCGTGGTTGTGGTACACAAGATCGATCCCTCCAGTCCCTTGTGGGAGTTGTCCGCCTCCCAATTGTTGCAGGAAAAATTTGAAATCATCGTAATCATGGAAGGTATGGATGATATGATTGAATTGGTGCACTGGTAGGTGTGTGTGTGTGTGCGAATCGGAAAAATTAATTAATGTGAGTGAGTGATTTTAAAATGAGGATTGTGGTTTTCTTTGTTAGTTTCAATTTCGAAGTTTTTGATTTAGTTTAGAGTTTAAATTTAAAAATAAACTTATTTTCGCAAATGATTCATAATTTAATTTTATAATTCAATTCAGGTGTAGTAGAATCAACAGGCATGACGGCCCAGGTGCGCACCTCATACCTCCCTTCAGAAATTCTGTGGGGGCACTGTCTGGCACCCCTCCTAACCTACCAGAAAGAAAATGGCCAATACAAAATTGACTATGCCCAATTTCACGCCATTCTGCCCGTCCAAGATATGCCTGAATGCAGTGCCAAAGTCTATTTAAATCTCAAAGAGAAGTTGCCTGTCGGACAGGTTTTTGTTGTTAACTTTGAGTGTGCGTGTATGTGTTGTGTGTGTGTGTGTGTGCGTGTGTGTGTGTGTGCTTGTGTGTGTGTGTATGTGTTAATAGTTTATTGATAAGATTATAAGTAAGTAGTGAAGTAATTTGATTTTAAAAAATAAGGAAAAAATATGTTTTTTTAATGTAAGCAGCGGATAAATTTATAACAAGCATACACACACGCGCGCGTGCACACACACACACGAACACATGCACACACACACATGCACACACACACATGCACACACACGCTCATACACACAATCACGATCACACACACATACATAGGTTAGGTAGGAGAAAAAATATACAACATTAATATTTATCATTATTTATGACACATGGATCAATGCTGAAGAAGACAGCTACCGTCAAGATGATGATCACAACTGTAGTGATAAGAAAATAATATCAATAAGAATAGTTATTATAATAAAAAAGCAATAATAATAAGAATAATAAGAAAAAGAAGAAGAAGAAGAAGAATAAAAATAGTAATAAAAACAGCAATAGCGAAAACAGGTTTTAATGAAAATAATAAGGGCAGCAATGATGACGATGACGATGACGACGATGATTATGACGTCAATGATGCTAAAGACGTAAATGGTGATGATGATGATGACGATGATGATGATGGTGATGATGATGGTGATGATAAAAAAAATAATTACAACATAACTTGAGACAGACTAAAGTAGAGATGACGAGGATGATGAAAACAATGGCGATCCTGATAGTAATTACAATAATCCTGATGATGATGACGATGATGATGACGATGGTGATGGTGATCGCCATGATTAATATAACGCATTGTGTATTGATTAATTAATTTTCCGACAGTCGTTCCATTTGTTGACTCTTGTCCATCCCCTACACACACATATGTATATATATATATATTATTTATATATACATATATATATATATATATACGTATATATGTATACATGTGTGTGTGTGCGTGCGTGTGTGTGTGTAGTTAGTGGGTATAAGTATATTTACATACGTATATTTACACACTCCACATTGTATGTATGTATATATATATATATATATATATGTATATATATTTATATATATATGTGTACATTATATATATATATATATGTATATATATTTATATATATATGTGTACATTATATATATATATATATATATATATATATATATATATATATATATATATATATGTTGGTAATAGACCATAATTTTTACAATATTCTATAAATTCTACCGAAATTCGACAAGTCTTGAACTACCTTCTTTTTAACTTCTAATTCTCGATAGAATTCGGTAGAATTTATAGAATATTGTAAAAATATATATATATGTATATGTGTCTTTCAGTTTTTCTAGATACGTGTTGTTCAATTAGTGAAATGAGCTGTTGACTTGCTTATTTTCCATGTGCTCAAATGGCATCCGAGATATATGTAGATATATAGATATATAGATCTATCTAGATATATAGATATATTTAGATATTCATGTATATGTAGATATATTTATGTGTATGTATATTATATATATATATATATAATATAAAACCATTATATTTATATATATATATATATATAATCATTTGACTGTAAGTAAATGTTGGTTATTTTTCTCGCATTTGGTATTTTGGGACTTGTTTCTTTAATTTTGTTTGTCTCTTACTGCAAGAAGGCTTACATTTATTTACTCACACACACACGCACGCACACATACACACACACACAAATATACACATACACCACCAACATACATTCACACAAAAACACATAGGTGGCTTTTTATTCAGATATATTCATACGTACTAAATAACTTGGAGATGGTTAAATTACACGAACCCAGCACTTCGTGACTTAAAGTACGCGCGTAGTGCATACATGCATAACGCCTGTATGTACCCAATACTTACTGTATAACTTTTTTCCTTCAATCTTCAGTGTGGTTCTATCATGTCTTTCTCTTATTGTTACAATATTTCTCTATGTGATTGTTCAAAAAGGTTTAATTTTCTTGAAGGGACCATTATTATTAAAATCAAATTATTAATTTTAAAATTAAATTCTTGAAAAAATTTTCAAAATAATTTCATTAGGTGGATGACGGCCAACTCGATACCTCTCCATACTTCACAGTACCGCCGAAAGACACGACTAACGCGTCAAGGATCTCAGTTCTGCAGAGGGTTCGAGGCAGCTTAAAATTAAAAAAATCTCGTAAAGAGAACACTACCACCACCAACAACAACAACAGCAACAAAACAACAACAGCCACACTTTCACCGACGACGTCAACTCTTTCGGCCGCGCTAGCCACCTCAACCACAGCGGCCAAAAGAGCATCCAGTGGAGAAATGTCGACCTTCACCAATAACAAAGAGTTTTCAATTTTCGGAGCTAAAAAACAATCTCTAGTCAGTTCATTTTCAGCTGTTTTAAACACCTCTAAATCATCCAACAACAATGTATATAACCAGAGTATCAGTGCTAATCACAATTACGGCGCTCCCGTTGCTAATTGTACATCTACCTGCCTTGATTCGCCGACAAAGACTGCAGTTTTTTCGCCCATATTTCCAATTCGGTCTTTCACGTTTTCCGCTTACTGCGGGAAGAGTAACCTGCCAAAAAATAAACACGCTCTGACGACAAACATTGAGAATATTAATAGCCAAAATTCGAGAAAAAATCCAAGCGAGAATAAAACCGATAGCTTAAAAATTAATGTTTCAAGGAATAACGACGCTGATAATTCTGCTGCTAGCCACACTAACGACATTCTCAACATCTCGGCCAGTAATCATAATGCCACAAACATTACCACTGCTCCTTCTACCCCAGCGACTACTACTACTACAAAATTTTCCACCACAGCCACTACCACTACATCTTTTACTGCAGCTAGCACTACTACTACAGTTACCACAACTACTAACAAAATCGCTTCAGATGATAGCAGCCACAACAGCATGACAAAAACAACAAATTCAAACGCGACTAAATGTATCGATCATTCCATTGCATCAAGCAGAAAGCCCAAAAATCACGCCAAGTTCAGTGAAGATATCCTGATGGCAGGCAACTCTTATTCAGCTAGTAGTAATAACACAACACTAAACGAATCAAATTTTACCAATGCCACAAAACCAACAATTCTTAATAATAATAAAATTCTTCATAAGACTCCCAACAATGTTAATACAGCTTACACTTTCGCTGATTCGACTAAACCCAAACAAGTTATAATCCACAACAATAATGATGATGATGAATATAACGGTATTGTACACATTACTACTATGAATGCTTCTACTATTGCTAAATCTCTGAATGCTACTCCTAGCAACGATTGTAACGGCGATAGTAAAAATACTTCAAAAATGAATAAACTGAGTGATAACATTGAAAAAATCAGTATATCTAATTTAAAAGTGGAAAATACAGGCGGTGACAACGATGACGATGGCAGAATTCACTGTATTGAAAACATTAGTGACAATACTAACTGCCTAGCTGGGGAGAACGGTAGTAGTAGCAGTAGTAGTGGTAGTGGTGCTGACACAAGCGCTAAAGTCTTTGAGAATGACGACTGCCTCGAGGCCATGCTTGTCGCCGAACCTGCAAGTAGATAGGGGGGATTGATGGATGGATGGATCGTTTGAGTGAATGAATAGATGGATGAATGAATGATGGATGGATGGATGGATGAATGAATGAATGAATGAATGAATGAATGAATGAATGAATGAATGAATGAATGAATGAATGAATGAATAAATGAATGAATGAATGAATGAACGAACGAACGAACGAACGAATGAATGATTAAAAACATAAAAAAAAGAGAAAGGGTGAATTAACGATTGGACACATCCAAAATATAGATATTTAATTCAATTTTCTAATCATCTTTTGCTTCATTGTTACTTTTATTAATAATTACTAGCAGCAGTAGTAGTAGTAGTATTAGTAGTGGTAGTAATTTTTTTAACAACTTTATTTTTTAATTTTGGCATATTCAAATGCATCTAAAATGAACTTAAACTTATGAAAAATTGTCGTTTTACAACCGGTACTCGATATTTAACGAACTTCAATTGATATTGTACTAACATTCTTAACATGTTAATTTTTTTTACATTATTCTATTTTATATCAATTCACTATATAGAGTTTTCAATTTTTTATATTATTTAGTCTTAAACACGAATATTTTATTCAATTTATTTCCGTGTCGTCGTCATCTTCTTCACACTCATCGTCACCAATCATCATAATTATTGCCACATTTTTTCATCTCTCTTTTTCTCACTTTCTCTCTCTATTTATCTATCTATCTGTCTGTCTGTCTGTTTGTCTGTCACTTCTTTTTAATTAGTCCTCTTCTATCATCATGATCACTATCTTACCATTGGTCATTATGGTTGCATGTCCATTCCAGGTAGAATTAATTATATTAAATGACCTTTTAAGACGCTCAGACAAGCGGTTAGTCATCTACATCACTCTCTCTTTTCATCATTATCTCTTTTTCATCGTCACCACCATCATCGTCGTCCTCGTCTTCATCATTCTCTTTCATCTCTTCCTCTTCATTTTACTTCTTTCAAAGATTTGTATTTGTTACGTACGTACATATAAACTCATATTTTTTTCTAATTCAAGTTTCATTTATTTTTTAATTTAAATGAATAAAAAAAATTTAGAAGAATACATAAATAATAATAATAATCATGAAAATAATGAAATTATATAAATAGCACAAATTAAAAGCTTAGAATAAATCAGACAATCAATTGGAATGTTAAAAATTTATGTATCCTAATGAACAATCTATAGTTAAATTGTTTGGATAAAGACATTCATATTCTTTACGATAATCCTACAAGCCGAGAATCTAAAGTTCAAAATGTCAGAATTGCAAATTAAGACAATAATGAAAGAGCATGGATAATGACTTGTAAGAAAACATTAGTAAAATAGAAAGAGAGCGCGAGAAAAAGAGAGAGAATCATTTGGAGGTTTCATCATCGTTCTTTCTATTCTCGCGTACACTCTTCAGGAAATCTCGCAAGGCTCTAGCAGACAGTCTCATTATTTCCATCTCTCTTTCCTTTTCCTCTTTCTTCCTTTGCTCTTCCTGAGCCTTCTTTTGTTGGTATTCTTCGTAAAGTCTTTTTTGCTTCCTGTATTCTTTCAACTGTTCCTCGTATAGCCTTCTTCGAGCTTGATAATTTTCAAAAGTCTTTTTTGATTTAGCGCTGCTCCGGTGACTAAAAAATATCAGCACCGACAGTTCTGTTTCGCGCGTTCTTTGCAATTCGGAGAGTTTCTCCAGCTGCTGTTGCTGCTTCAAGAGCGTTTTTGTAGTTGGGGTTCTTGTAAGGTTGATGAGACTGGTCGAGTTTTCTTTTACTGGAGTTAGCGCTGTTGAGGGATTTGATGATGGGTTTGCTTGAGATATCGTTAAAGATGTTGATAAGGATTCTGCTAGTAGTTCGATTGGTGATGTTGCTAATGAGGATGATGATGATGACGGCAATGGAGATGATGATTGCTGGTTTTGGGCAGCTGATGATGTTTTAGAGGAGACATATTCAAGTTTTTCATTCGTTAGCATCTTTCTTCTATCAACTCTCCTCTTGGCTGCCTCCCTTCTCAACGCTGAACTTGGCGTCACTGGTGGCAGTGGTGGTAGAAACGACAATGACGCCAGAGGTCTTGATGAGGAGGAAGATGATGAAAACCATGGTGGTGATGGTTTTGCTGTCATTTTCGCAGCTGCAGCAGCTGATGGTACTTTGGCTTCTAATGGTGAAGATGATCTTTTCAAAATCGATATATACTCTTTAAGAGCCCTCTCCGTCGTTTGTAATGGTGATTCCACATCAGTAATATCATCATTAACATTGTCGTCAATGTCATGTTCATATGATACATCCATATCATTATCGTCATCTTCATTGTTGTTGTTGATGATGTTGTTATTGATATTGTTGATGTTTTTGTTGATGCTGTCGTTGATGATGTTGTTGATAATGTTATCTTTATTTTCGTCATCATCATGTCCATAATTGTTCGCACCTCCAACATACATTTGTTGTTGTTGGTTATCATATGATGACATCAAAGCCTCGTCAACTTTCAGTTTTTTACTTACTCGTTGCTCCGACTGTCTCGTACCGAAGCAATCTTCGCAGCAAGTTTTATCGGAACTTAGCCCATTCCTACTTTGTATGATGACGTAATTGACTTTGGTTAGACTCACGTGACAGTAATTGCATCTGAAATGATCCACGTGGAAGGAATTATCTCGGGAAAGAATGTGCGGATCGTTTCTGCTGATGATCTGTAGGGTGAAAAATTGGAAAAATGTTAGATAGATATATGCTACACACACGCTTGCATACAAAGACACACATACACACACACAATCAAAAGTAAATCAACTATTACCATATGACAAGCAAAGCATAGCATCATCGTATCAACATTCTTCAGCTGTTCATATATGTACTGATGATCATGATGGTGCCAGTCTTGGTCATCCTGATATCTTTGTCGCTTTAGCTCCCATCTGTCATAAAAATCATATTGTCTTCTACGTTTCCCTTGTTGGTTACGGTAAGAATGGTAGTCATTAAGTTGACGAAGTTGATGACGAAGTTGCTGAAGAGTTTCCCCGCGATTGTCGTCATATTCGTTTTGCCTGTAGGGACGATAATCAGGACGACGATGTAGTTGTTGATGTTGATAATGATAACTAAGTTCGTGGTTATCTTCGTAGTCACGAAACTGATGACGTTGTTGCTGCTGGCGAAGTTGATGAGGCAGTTGCTGCTGCTGTTGCTGCTGACGATTTGAAACGCGTTGCTCCCAATAGCGTGCGTGATAAGCATCCAACTGGTCTGGATGTGTGGGACGTTGATTATGGCGTCTGTTTCTGTTTTCGGAATCCATTTTTGATGATTTGTTGTTGTTGTCGTTGTTGCGCTATTGATGTGTTGGTGATGTTGATGCTATTGACCTGCAATACTAAAGATCTCGATAATGTTATTAATTTCGGCTATAACGGTGCTAACTAATTTAGATAAAATTGAAAACCTCTGATTCAAAAGCGTCTCAGGTCAAGCATATTTATATACAATCAAAAAATGTTGGCAATAATGTTCTAAATTCCGAATCCAAATTGCACTAGTAGACAAAACTGCTGGACACTGACGCTAAATAGGGTCTCAGGTCAAACGTATATATAGTCAAGAATAGCAACACAAAGTTAACTTTATTAATCATTGTTAGGATTAGGCTTGTAACTTTGAAACTTTAGAATTATAACTTTGTTGTTAGCCATGTTATAACCATCTATTAACCTAGTAAATCGATTAACCTTATTAAATCTTATAATAAAATCACTTTACGACCGAACTGACAGAGGAATTCAAAAATACCTCTAATAAAATAGACTTAAATAAAAGTGATAATAAATTGGATTCGGAATTTAGATAAATAAAGTTATAATTTTTTACAAGCCTAATCCTAACAAAGATTAATCAAGTTAATAAAATATATTTCGTATTGTTAATGTCAGATTTACACGTCTCTAATTATAACCAATAAAATGTGAAAATTGGTATTTTTTTAGTTTCTTTGTGGTTGCATTTTAATAAAGCAAAGTGAGTTTGTTTGTGTGTGTATGTGTGTGTGTTTTTGTTTGTGGTTGTGTGTGTGTGTGTGTATATATGTGTGTGATGTCTGCAAAAAATATCAATTTCTTTAAAGCAGATTTCACTTTTACACTAGTTGCCATGGTGATTTGTGTGTAAACACGGTCATCTGTTCGCTATACTCTTGCTTCGAAATCATTATTTTACCTCTCATTAATCGCAGAATTAAAATTAATTAATTGGGAATTAATAATTAATTAAATGAAATAAATTAAATATCCCGTTGTTTTAATGGATTATTTTAAGTTAAATCGGATTGATTATTTTCAGGTTGTCACTTTTAATTTTTTTTAATTTATTTAATTTAATAATATTATTTTGATTCATAATTTATTATCAAAATTGAAAATTGAATTTTATTATCTATCTATTTATCCTTTAATTAATTCATTCATCTAGCTTTTTATCTATCTATCTAACCATTCATCCATCAAAGGTTGGTCTGTCATTTAAAAACTGTATGAAAGTTCTCCCGTCAAACTCGAACGAGCAACTAAACAAAGTTATTTCAAATTATATAATTTTTGTTTTTATTTTGCTTTTAAAAGTTTGGCAGCTCAGTGATGAAAGTGTTTGACTTTTGTGTTGCAGTAACTGCGTTCAAACGCAAAGAAATCCACAACTTGCAAGTGTGTTTGGAAATTGTGGATGGTTATCAGTAAAAGCAAAACCGTCCCGATCTGCTCCATAATCATTAATGGTAAACAAGTGAAACAGTTGACAGCTTCAATTACCTCGGAAGTCTGATAGCTCAGGCTGTAAATGTGATGTAGATATCAAAAGAAGGATAGCTACGGCGGAAGATGCATATTCTATAATGAAAAACATCCTCACCAACAGTAAAATCAGAATATCAACAAAATTAAATCTGTTGTTAGGATGTTACATTTTTCCTGTACAAAGTACGGCTCTGAGTACTGGACAATAAAAAAAATAATAAAAAATAAAAAAAAGGATTAACGCTACTGAGATGTGGTTTTTGAGAAGAACTATGAATGTTAGTTGGACCTCTCATACTTCGAATGAGGATATATTAAAACAGTCCGGTTATGAAAAGAGGAAATTACTACAGATAATCCGATGGGGGCAGTTAAAGTTTTTTGGTCACATCACACTGAAGGCGGAAGGAAAGAATGGAAAATCTAACACCTGCTAGAAAGATTGCAGGGAAAAGAGATCGCGGTCAACAATGAACAACATTCGTGAAGTCCTTGTGTCACTTGTTGAATATCACCACATTTCAACTATGATAATATTGTAAATAAAATAATTAATCCTTGATTATTAAACAACTAACTAAAAAAAAAATTTTTTTCTTTCAGATCGTGACGACAGACGATGGTGGAGTTCTACAAATATCAACGGTTAAAAACCGTCAAAATAATGTTAGTAAAAACGTCATTTAGTAAAATACACCCTCCTTAGTAACTCACTATTTGGTAACTAAGTATTGTACCTAATTATTCTTTCATATGCATAATATTCAGGAATAAATTGTTATTCAATTGTGAAATAAATTGTCACGATTTAGAAAATAATTCATATACTTATTTAAATAAAATCCAAAACATGAATTCAAAATTAAACACGTAACACTAAAAGGCAATCTTCCGGACAAACGTTAACTGTCCAGTCACGTGTCTTGAGTTAGGAGGCAAGTTAGGGCAAGAAAAAAATGTCGTTTTCGTGGCCACCGTAGCTGGTAAGGTTATGGGGTTCACGAAAAAGGGCAAACAGTTTATGAACCTCGATTCGGATATGTCGGAGCCTGTTAAGAGCATGTGCGATAATTTTTTTTTTATAAATTAAAATATTATTTAAATTTAATTCATATTAATTGCCGGTTTAATTGAATATTAATTAATAATAATTACAAAAAATGTACTGATTACAACGAATTGCTTGTGCGATTTTGTTATTTTACAGGCACGTAGAGGCAGCAGATTTGTTATTAGCAGGCGAGTACACGTTGAGACATTTTAATAATTGCGTGGAAGTTCACTTTTATCTATGTCCCGACAAGATCAATGACGTCATTTCTTTACCGCCATTGAAGTATAGCGGGAAGGTTTTTCCGGTTTTAGCCTGCTCTGACAAGACTTTGAAAGTTTTAAGCGTTGGTTGAGATGTTTATATTTTTTGTTCGTTCGTTCGTTTGCTTGTTTGTTCGTTCGTTTGTTCATCTGCTTCTTTGCTCATCTTGTCTGTTCGCTTATGTGAAAGTTCATGTTTTTCTTGATAGTTTTTTCATTTATTTGTTGGTTAATTTATATCAGCGCTTTATACGGTTTTTTAATAAATCACCTTTTGGTTATTTTTTTGTCCCTTCTTCGTCATTTCTTTACCGACTCATTCATTCATTAATTCTTTCATTTGTTCATTCATTTATTCATTCATCTATCCATTCATTCATTCATTCCTTTCTTCATTCATTCATTTAGGGATCAGATATGGTAGGCGAACTTAACGTTTCAGGGATTCCCGTTGTTTTGAATATGTATCATAACAATGGAGGTTAGATGTGTCGTTCAACTGTCCCTCCGTCCATCTATCCATCCATCTATCTTTTTATTCATTTATTTATTCATTCATTTATTCATCCATTAGTTCGTTCATCCATCCATCCGCTAAGTTATTCTAGTTCATAGCACCGATAGATTTTTACATTTCTGTCTTTGCATGTTGGTGATGCTTAACTGGCTATCCCTTCATTCATTCAATCATTCATTGAATCACTTTTTTATTAATTCATTTTTCATCCATTCACTCATTCACTTACCCATCCGTCTATCCAACAACAACCAGGTCCAAACGGCGAACTTGTGCTCTACGGAACAGACGATGGAAAATTCGGACTATCCCTGATAACTCCCATCTGCCAGTCTGTTCTTTGGGAACTCTCTAGTCCCGCCAGCCTCACAAAAAAGGTCATAGGATTATTGACCTTTGACCTAGAAACCAATCATACTTCCGGCGCCTTTGGTGACCTAATTATTGGTTATGATAATGGTGGTCTGGTGGAGGTTTACGGGTTGTCCGATGATGAGATGGACAAGCCAGTACACAAGGGGTCATTTGTGAGTTGTTTGTTTGTCTGTCCGAGTTGTTGTTGTTGTTGATGGTGATGATGATGTTGTTGATGATGACTAAGTTGTTGATGATGATTAATTTAGTGTTTGTTTTGTTAAATTTGGATAGGTAATCAATCGAAGCTTGATTCAATGTTACACACTTTGAAAATTAGACAAATTAATTTATAAAATTTCTTCAAAATGCGCCATTTGTTAGTCGGTTCTTTTAGCAAAAAATTAATTTGAAAATGAAAAATGTTTGCTGTGTTGTGTTTCAAGTCTCTGAATGAAAGCCTCAGAAGCATCGGATGTGGGAGGTTTAACAATGCAGACCATGCCGAAATACTCTGTCTAACTTTTTCTGGTTTAAGTTTCCTCGATATATTTTTATTTTTCTGTGGTTTTTTGTTAATTTTTTATGTTTTTGTTTGTGTAAATGTTTGTTTATTTATTTGTTTTTATTTCGTTCATTCGCTAATAATTTGAGTGTTTGATCGTTCGTTCATTAATTAATTAATTCATTCATTCATTCATTCATAGGTTGGGTCGTAGGTCTGACGACAGAGCCATCCAGCCATGCACTCAACAAAGATTCTGGCGAACACGACATTAAAATGGAAATATTAAGGTAGCCATATTGAGATTTTCTCACACACACACACACATACACACACACTTTTTTTCTTTTTTTAAATGTCTTTTTATCAATCACTCAAAGAAAAGAAATCGAAAACCTAGAGAGGCAGGTGGAAATAGAGAAAGAAAAGTACCAGAGCAACTCTCAAAAACCCGATCTAGTTTCTCAAGGTCAAGAGATCGAGGTCAAGTTGCAGTTTCATCTCAATCCTGACGAAGGCGTGTACGGGCTGAATTTGGAAACTGTCGTCCCTATTGAATATATCATGTTACAGGTTGGATGGATGGATGGATGGATGGATGGATGGATGGATGGATGGATGGATAAATAGATATTTTTCATTGATGTTGCTTGCACGTTTATTAAACATTCTTTTATTATTGCCGTATAATTACCTCGATCAAGTTTCTTTTAATCATTCGTTTACTCATATATTTTATTTCTTTTTTCCTCCTATAATTAATTAATAACTCAATTAACTAATTTAAATTAATTAATTATAATTCATTCATTCATCCATCCTTCCAATCATCTGACCTCAATATCAGTGTGACGTTCCAATAGACGTAATTGACATGGACAAAAATTCTTCCATCGTTAGTTTCACTCCGTGCTCAAATGAGGTAATAACATTAAAGATAATTACGTAATAATTATCATAATTATTATACTTTTATTATAATAAAAATTATAGTTAATATAATTATTATTACTTTTTAATTATTTTAGGAGGAAAACTTCCTATTGGCTACATACAGGTGCCAGGCTAACACAACGAAACTCGAATTAAAAGTACCATTAGTATAAATATATTATTTTCTTTGCCATAATTGGGTCATGACCTTTTCATAATTGGGTCATGATCTTCCCATAATTGAGTCACGACTTTTCTATAATTAGGTCATACCAGTCGAAGGTCACCAAGGTCATTTGAGGGCGTACGTCGTGCCCCTGATGAAACCGAAACTGTGTCAAGTTAAGCAGTTGGCGATTAAACCGTTGTGCATGCATTTTAGAGATAGCAATAAAAAAAAGAGGAGTAGAGATATTGATAGTGAGAGTAATGGTGAAAGGTAGGTGTGATGATGATGATGGTGGTGGTAGCGATCATAATGTGTTATTTATATAGAGCTTTGTTTATAATACTATATGATTTATTAATGAATGAATGAATTATTATCACTTCATACATACACTCATTCGTTCATACAAACATTCATTCATCCATCCATTCATTCTTCTTTCATCTATTCAACCAATCAATCATGCATTTATTCGTTCGTTCGTTCATTTTTAACTTAGCTAAATTATGATCATAATAAAAATAAAATAAACCAGCAGGCCAATGAATCGTTTGACCATGCAAGGGAACGTGTCCTTGTCTGATATTCACTCTTGGGTTAATTTGTGCTTTTGGGGAATTCCAGAAAAAGTTCCGGCAGACGAGAAGGCCAGTTACGGTTTCGTTTCGTCATGCTTGGGGACAGTTTTTAACTGCTCCTATAGGTTGGAAATTGATGACGTATTTGTTTATTTATTCGTGTGATAAATTATCAATCAATTTAATAACCAATTCATTCATCTATACGTTCATTTATTTCGCCATTCATTCATTCAATCAGTCAATCATCAATCATTCCAAACCAGAGACGGGATGATAGAATGCACGTCAGACAATCTGTCGACCATGAATATCTTCAAGGATCTCATTTTTAAGGAGGCCACGAAATCCGGAATTAAACTGGATATTTCCTTCGGTAGAATGAATGAATGAATGGATGGATTGATGAATGAACGAACGAATGAATGACTAAATGAATGAACTGAGAAATGAATGAACGAAAAAATGAATGAATGAATAAACAAGGTGCAAACAAACGAACATTTAAATGATCAAATAACAAAACAACCCCCCTAGATATAAATGACGAAACTGTTATAAACACATTGAAATCAATCATCCCAAAGATGGATGAATTGATACTGGCCGCCCAGAAGGTTCAACTAATCGAAGGTCTCAAGGTCAGTTCGAGGTGAAAGTTCAAGGTGAAAGTTCAGGGATAAATGATGGAGTAAATGAATAGACGGACGAACGAAAGGAAAAATGAATAAATTATAAGACACTATCATTATATCGGTATATTAACATAAACCATATCTGCTTCAAAATTGGCATAACAATTACCATTACCACATCTTTTATTTATAATAATATTTATTTATAATAATATTCATTTATAATAATATTAAGACAACAAAAACAATAGTAACAATAATAATAACAATAATATTAAGATATAATTTGTATTGTTATTGTTGTTAGGAAATAGAGACGCAAGAGGGCAGTATCGATTGTTTGACAGGCGATTTCAAGCAAGTCCTCATCGAGGCAGACCTCTTGACCGCACTGCACAAACAAAAGCATAAACAACTTGAAAGATATTACGGTAACCATGGAGACGATCAGGGCCGGATTTAAAGGGTGCGAGCGCGACTGCTTTTCGGGGCCGTTACAAAAGGGCCTCCCACATAAACGTTAATAGGTTTCACGTATAATAACGGAAAAATTTACACTGACATTTGTTACAAGCAAATTATTGGCTTTTCGACGCTACAAGTTAATCAAATTAAGACCCTTCCCAAATATTCATGGGGGCTTTCTTCGTTGCCTCGGGCCGCCTCTACACTTGTAAATTTGGCCCTGAAGATGATTTGAACGATGATGATGGTGATGATTGAGCTAGAGATGATTGTGGTGATAATTATGATGATGTGATATAGCTTTTGACATCATTATCTTTTCATATCACCATCTTAACTATTATAATCTGTCAAGATATCATCAACATCATTATTGTGACATCATCAATGTCAGTTATGACGTCATCAATTTTTTTATCAACGTCATCATCATTATTATCATCATCATCTTTATCATCACCATCATCATCGTCTTCATCGCCACCATCGACTCAAAAAAAAACTTTTTTCCATTCCACCTCAACAACAGCTATGATCACTCACCTCTACCAATCGTGGTTCAAGTTCAAAGGTCGTTCGGTCAAGGACAAGTTGGATGGGTTACAAGGGGTCATCAAGAAACACGACTCTAAAATGCTTTTGGAGTTTTTCAAAAATTCAACATAAATTAACGTAACAGGAAGAACGAGAAAAAGTTAGAGAGAGAAAGGAAGGAATAAAGAGAGAGAGAGAGTTTGCTTAATTTTGTGTACGTGTGATTTTGCAAGCCAGAATGGGAAGGTTGTTATGTAATGTTTTTCTAACATTCTTTCGGCTATTTGCATTGAATTAAATCACAATACCGCAACGCTAATCAACATGCACACGCATATGCATACAAACAAACATACATGCGTATACACAAACTAACATATATGCATACATATATACATACATATATGCACACATACACGTGTATATATACATACATACATACATACATACATACATACATACATACATACATACATACATACATATAGACAGACGGACAAGCATGCATATATACAAACATATAGAGAATGAATATTGGTTCGACCTCTGTTCTGAATTTTTCATTGGCAAAACATTTTAAGGACATACGTATGAAGGTAAGAACACAGACAGACAGATGCACAAACAAACAAAGACAAAAATACAGATACACACATATTTGTATATTTTAAATAAAACTTTCTCTACAATGTGTCTTTGTTATTGTTTACATATAAAAATGTAAATAAACACAAAACAGAACTTTAATATTATGTTATTGCCATATACATATATACAAGATAATACCTAAAAGACATACATACACACAGATATGCATACATAACATACAGACATACAGACATACATACATACAAACAAACAAACATACATACACACGCACTGAGAGACAGATAGGTTACGATCATTGCTTTTTTTTTCTTACCTATGCTTTGACAAAAAATTAAGATGACAAAAGAAAAGATGATATTAAAAAGGAGAAAATAAGAGAAAGAAAGAGAGAGAGAGAGATAGTAAAACTTATTTTTTCGCAAATGCAAATTCGCACCACAACGACACGACAACATGTAATGTAGTATCATTTACTTAGTTTACGATATATTTGTTTATGAAAATACTCTCTCCCCCCTCTCTCTCTCTATCTCTCTCTCTTTCCTTCTCTTTATATATAGTATATATCAATTTATGTATAATTTGTTATAGTTCATATATGCATGTATTAAATACAAGTCTGTATACTGTTGGTTGACAATATGTGTTTTTTAAGATAGCTAGGTTTGTAAGGCAGTTGTTGTTTGTTATTATTGTTGTTATTATTATTGTTATTATCACTGTTGTTGTTATTATTATTAGTGTTGTTATTGTTTTTATTACTATTTTGGTTGTTGTTATTTTTGCTGTTGTTGTTGTTGTATATTTAAAATGGTTACAATAGCAGTTAGGTGTATGTGTGATTGTATAGATTATTTAGATTAGAGCGAGGCAAGCACAGAACGTGTCTTTCAATATTCTGAGGTAATAAAATACTTTTAAAATAAAATAAAAATAAATAAACAAATTAATAAATAGAAGAATGAACAATCAAGAAAGGAAGTACTTGAGTTAACATCTTAACGTGTTAGCATAAAAAAAATTAAAGTTTTTTATTTATAATGTAATTTTTTAGTTATATTAATTCGTTTATTGTCTCTTAGTGCTATAATTATTGGCATTTTATTGATGCGTTCGTTCGTTCACTCGTTCATTCGTTCATCCATTCATTCATTCATTCATTCAGAAATCCATTTTTGTTTGAGCATTTCAGTTGTTTATATTTTAAAACTAAATTTATTGGTAAAACTAATTTTCAACCTTCTAGATTAGGATAAATAAGTTCAAATGTCATTTTCATTTGACACTGCCTAGTGTTATCCTCTAACTTTTTACTCTCTCTCTCTTTCTCTCTCTCTCTCTCTCTCTCTCTCTCTCTCTCTCTTCTCTTACTTACATGTAAAGATATCTTAACATGATGCATTCAAAACGTTTTTGCAATTTATAAATGATTTTGTGTGTGTATGTGTGTGTGTGCGTGCGTGCGCGTGTGTGTGTGTGTGTGCGTGTGTGTGTGTGTGTTTATGTCAACAACGGTTATAAAAGAAGAGTAGTTAGTGTTTGTTTTTCGATCACTTAACTTCTCTAAAGAGTAATACTGTGTTGAAGTCCAGGCCTTCGTGTGTATAGAAATATTCAAAATCATTTGGTTAATATTTGGATCATGTACTTATCTTTTGTTATTGTCGGCAAATGAAAATTTTTTTAATTAAAATACAAATTTTTGTCATTCAAGTTTTTGACTCGAAACCGCATTCCAACTTAGAGTTGAAAGGAAAGAACCTAAATAAGATTGATAAGTTATAGTATAAAGTGACGTCATTGTCATCACTTCCGCTATCATCATCATCATTTCCGCTATCATCGTCATCATCATTTTGTCAATATCATCGTCTTTATCACTTCATCAAGTTTGTTATTATAAAACAAAGTTTTTATTGTAGCAGCTTCTTCACTTTGGACAAACTCGTCATCACCATCTTCATCATCATATTAAAATTGATTAGCCCAACAACATAAAATAACTACAACAGCTTACAATAGCATAACAGCTAAAAAGAGCACCACGATCTAAAAATAGCCCCATCGACAACTAAAAATAGTCCCGACGGCTAAATTTGCTATCAACGACAGCTAAAAATAGCACCAACGTCTAAATATAGCATCAACAACAACTGGATAGTACTTCTAACACAACTCCGACTGATACGCCTCTAACATCAGCTCTCTCGCGAGGACAAGATACAACGGCAACAACAGCATTACTACTACTACTACCACTACAAATAATAATAATAATAATAATAACAATAAAAATAATAACAACAACAGCTGCAAAAAATGCTGCGTTTGAGAAACAGAATTGTTAACCTCAGTAGGCATTCTTCAGCCTTTCTCCTTCAGCAAGTAGCAAGCCACATTCATTTCGTCCTAATTTCATCTCATTCTATTTAAATACTCTATCGATGAACCCCAAATTAATTGCATCATATCCTTAATCTTTCTATAATAATTTCAATAATAATAATAGCAACGATGGCAAATTTTTAGTCGTGTATTAACATCTTTGCAACCACAGACCGGTACTTTCTCTGAGGTATGGGATCGAACTTCGAGAAAGTGTGCTTGCGCTGTGAGGGGGTTCAAAAGTACGGCGACGCCACTGAATCAACAGCAGCAGTTGCAGCAGTTGCAGCAGCAGCAGCAACAACAACAGAAACCGGTTGAGATTAAGCCGATTAAAAAGCTCATGGTAGCTAACAGAGGTATGTGAGGAAATTTGTTTGCAATGATTTCATCATAAAATAATTAAATAATCCATGAATTTAATGGATATAGTATTCATTCATTCATTCCTTTTTTCAGTTTTTCATTTGTTTTTTACTTATTTATTTTTTCAATCCTTCATTCATCCATTTATCTTACAGGGGAAATAGCTATCCGGGTTTTCAGGGCCTGCCACGAGCTCGGTATCAGAACTGTATCCATCTACTCGGAACAGGATAGGAGGATGATGCATCGGTTGGCAGTGGGACTAATTAATATTATTATGATCCTTAAATGAAAGAAGAATAATAATTATATAATAAGAAGATTAATTGTACAGCGAGAAGAACAATTACATGATAGGAAGAATAGTTGCATGATGTGAGATAAAATTTTTGAATTTCGGACAGCCGAACGTTCAAGCCAGATCATCGTGCAGTTGCAACGCAAAACATGACACACTATGCCTCATTCTTTATCTCTCTTTCTTTCTCTCTCTCTTTATCTCTCTCTCTTTTTTAATTTCTCTCTCTCTCTCTTTTTATCTATTTTTAGTTTAAATATTAAAATAAATAATTAAATAAAAAATTTTTTTCGTAAGATTCAAATCAGATGAAAGTTACTTAGTAGGCAAGGGACTGGCCCCGGTCCCAGCGTACCTATGTATACCTGATATCGTCAGGATCGCTAAGGTACTTTCATTCATCCTCTATTCATTCGCTCATTCACTCACTCATTCATCATTCATTTATCTATTGACTTGCCCAATTTTTCATTCATTCATACAGCCAATCTGTCAATCGTTCTTTTATTTAATTGTTTATTTAGTTATTAATTCACTTATTTATTTTTAACGAGTCATTCACTCGATCATTCATTCATTCATTCATTTTTTTAGTCCTTTTTTCATTCATTCATTTATTCATTCACTCATTAATTCATTCATTCACTCATTCATTCATTTACTCATTTTTTTAGTTTTTTTCATTCATTCATTCCTGCCATCATTCAGGAAAACGACGTCGACGCGATACATCCGGGATACGGTTTTCTGTCGGAGCGAGGGGACTTCGCAGATGCGGTCCTTGAAGCCGGCATCCGACTAGTCGGTCCCAATCCTGAAGCCATCAAGAGGATGGGAGAAAAAACTATGGCCAGGAAAGCAGCCACAGAAGCTGGTAAGATGGTGAGGCGGCGTTTGTGAGGGTTTAGATGCTGTTTATAAAAACTCAAAATCATTGAATCAATGAAACCGCTATATTTAAGTTCTTCAATGAAATCATTTTAACCAGTGAAATAGACAGATGGTCAAGTAAAAAGCTGATCATTCAATCAACTAATCAAATCAGTCAATCAAATCAACTATCTAACCAATTAATCATCCAATCCATCAATCAATCATATCAGTCAAACCAATCAATCAGCCAATCAAATCTGTCAAATCATCCAATCCCTCAACCAATGATATCAGTCAAACCAACCAATCAATCAACCAATCAAATCTGTCAAATTACCCAATCAAATCATTCAACCAATCAAATCAATTCATCAATCAAATCAATCTACCAATCAAATCAATCCACCAATCAAATCAATCCACCAATCAAATTAATCCACCAATCAAATCAATCCACCAATCAAATCAATCCACCAATCAAATCATTCCACTAATCAATTCAATCAACCAATCAGGAGTGACTGTGGTTCCTGGGACACCAGGTCCGGTGAAATGCGCAGACGAAGCCTACGCTTTCTGTAAAGAACATGGAGTGCCTGTCATTTTCAAAGCGGCCTATGGCGGTGGGGGTAGGGGTATGCGAAAGGTCAACAAACTGGAGGTCAGTGGTTAAACTTGGTAGTTTTTGATAGTACTATACTTATCATCACTCTTCTGTCATCATCGTCGTCGTCTTCTTCTTCACCATCATCGGCAGTTATTAATTCTTTACCACAACCAGCGTCATCATCTACATCATCATCCAGCATCATTTTCTTGTCATCATCATCATCATCTTTACTTTTTTATCACTCTTTCTTTTTCTCTTTCACTCTCTTTCTCTCACTCTCTCTCTCACTCACTTTTTTCCCTCGCCATTATTTAAATTATTCCAAATGATTAACACCGCTTCTTTTATGTTTTTATTATTGTTCATATTATTATTCGTTTTTTTCTTATTATTATTCATATTATCATAATTTTTTATTCTCCTTATTGTTATTCTCTTTGCTTAGACTACCAGAACACAAACACGAACACAAACACGAACGGCATCATTCATTTGCATGCGTTTTAAAGTTGATCATAGGTAGAGAGAAGAGAAAATGACGAACAAATAATAAACATAATAATAAACATAATAATAATAAAAATAATATTATTAATTATAACAACAATAAATGTAATAATAAGTCAAATGTATCTAGGTATATTAGTTACGTAATAATAAGTTGGAATATAATATGATGTTATTGTTGATATTATTATTATTAGTAGTAGTAGTAGTAGTAGTAGTAGTAGTAGTAGTAGTAGTAATAGTAGTAGTAGTAGTAATAGTAGTAGTATTGTGTTTGATGTTGTTGTTGTTATAATTAATATTATTATTTTCATAGTTAACGTTTGGACTTTGCTTAATAAATAGTTTTGGAGTGTTAAATTCTAAACTTTGCTCAAAAGCCATTTGATGTTTATTATTCTATTTTGTAATTATATATGAATAATAATAATTTTTTAATAATTATCATTATTACTACTATATACATCATACAAGATGCTAGATTTTCAGCCACTCTACCATTGTCATCCATCCATTCATTTGTTCGTTCGTTCGTTCATTTTTTATCTACTCATTCATTCATTTGCTCATCCATTCATTCATTCATTTATTCATTTATTTATTCATTCATTTATTCATTCATTCATTTATTCATTCATTTATTCATTCATTCATTCATTCGACTGTTAGTAAATGAAATTCAATGATCTGTCCATTATTAAATTAATAAATATAAGCCGAATTCTAAATTCTTTTTTTGGATGAATTCATCTAATTATTAATCTATCCATCTATCTATCAATCCATCCATAAAACTATCTATTGATCAATCCATCGATCTATCTAGTTATCTATCTATCCATCTATCTATCCATTCATCCAATAAAGGAAGTAAAAGAGCAATTTGAACGGGCAACATCAGAAGCAGTAGCAGCTTTCGGCAATGGAGCGCTCTTCCTCGAGAAGTTCATCGTTAGACCTAGACACGTTGAGGTACAAATTCTCGGAGACAAGTGAGTCGCCATGATGATACACTATCATTGATATCATTTAGTATCTTTCATCATTATTTTTGATACATCCAACCAACCGATCAATCAATCAATAAATCAACCAACCGATCAATCAACCAACCGATCAATCAATCAACCAACCAACCAATCATTCAATCAACCATCCAATCAATCAATTTAATTTATATAGCGCAATTTTCAAAACTCAAACTTCAAGATACGGAAATGTAATTCACCTCTACGAGAGGGATTGCTCAGTTCAGCGACGGCACCAAAAGGTCGTTGAAATTGCCCCGGCGCCCAATTTGGACCCTCGAATTCGAGATGCCATCACGCAGGACGCCGTCAAGCTAGCCAAGTATGTGGGCTACGAAAACGCGGGAACTGTCGAATTTCTGCTAGATTCTTCGACTGGGAAGTTCTACTTCATCGAGGTGAATGCCAGATTACAAGTTGAGCATACGGTGACTGAAGAGATTACGGGGTCGGTTGATGGCGCTTTTAGATTAAATTTTTTTTTAATTTTTTATTTGTAAATTGTATTTATAAATTTGTTATTTTATTTATAAATCAAATTAATCGAAATTACACAACGACGTAATAAATTCGCGTAGATCTATTGTTTTACTAAACATCGAATCACACCAACATTCAAACGCCAAAACAGAGTTGATCTAGTTAGGGCCCAGATAAAGGTCAGCGAAGGTTATACCCTTCCCGACCTTGGCCTCACACAGGACCAAATCAAGGTCAATGGATCCAGTATCCAAAGTAGGCTGACCACGGAAAACCCCGCCACTCCAGATTTCACACCAGATACTGGAAGACTTGATGTAAGTGGGGGCATGGCAGCGCCTAATTATTTATTATACTTTGTATATATATTATTAATCATTTTATTTGAAATTTGGGCGATACGATGGTGTAACGGTTAGGACGCCTGGAGCTGTTTTTGCAGGGACTGGATTTGAATGCACGGCGATCCCCCTAATCACGTGCAAAGTGTGCGTGCGTGTGTGTGTCTGAGGCATTCATTCATACGTTTATACATACATACACTGTGTGTGTGTGCATGTGTGTTTTAGCCTTTGAGAAATATTAATACAAAAATTGCAAAAAAATTGTTACCCTGCTTTCAGTTCTAGATTTCAAATTAAAATTTAAATTCACCATTGCGTCAGGTTTGTGTAAGTGGCGAAGGCATGGGCATAAGATTGGACAGCGCTTCTGCTTACTCTGGCGGGTTTGTAAGTCCGTTCTACGATTCGCTGCTCGTCAAAGTGAGTTTTTGCCATTTCGTCTGCGCTTTTCTCACATAATTATTTGAAAAAACGTTTTCTCATTAATTGGTGTTAATTAGTTATAATTCTTAATAATCTTGATGTTTTTAAGAGTTATTCTGCCATGTTCTGTGATACTAATTGGTTTATAAACTGAACAATTGATCGAAATAATAATGAGTTCGTTCTCTATAGAGATTAATATTACGCAGTGATTATTATTTTGGATAGATCAAAAAACAATTTTTAAACGTTTGAACTTTGGGTTTTTTGTTACACAAGATAAAACATATATCAAACTCAAACACGCACACGTTAACACGCACACGCACACAACTCACACGCACACAACTCACACACACACGCACACACACACATCTTTCTCACACACACAAACATACAGACACACATATGGATTTTAGACCTTGTTTATTTCTTACGCATACGTATTCAAATAAAACATCGGTGCTTTGTGAGATTAGATACCTATCCAAAAATGCGACCACCATAGAGAAAAAAGTTTAAACGCGATAAAAATAATAATTTAATAATTAATAATAATTACATTAAAATAAAATTATGACCCAAGGTCATTGCGACGGACAAAGATCACCCGAACGCCTGCCAAAAAATGTTAAGGGCACTGAGGGAATTCACCATTCGTGGTGTCAAGGTTTTTAGTCGGGCTTAAATATTAATACTCAACATTTGACTCTTAAATGATAACCTTAGCTATGATTATACGAAAGCAATTTTGTGATTGTGAGTAAAAAATAACAGTTAGATATTTTTCTACATTCAAAACAACAAAAATGTCTAAAAATGTTCAGGTGATAAAATCACAAAACTAGTTTATTTTAGTAAAAAAAAACTCGTCTCCAACGTCTCGGCCACCAGACGAACATCCCATTCATCGTGAACGTACTACAAAATCCGGATTTCGTGAACGGATCGGTGGACACGAGTTTCATCGAGGAGAATCCTCAACTTTTCAAATTCGATTCGGCGCCTAACGAGTCCCAGCAACTTTTAAATTACATCGGGAATGTTCTCGTAAATGGTGCACTCACGCCCTTAGCAACTGGACTGAAACCCGCAAAAATCGCCGTACATGTACCATCAATTCCAGTTTGTTAGTGCAATTTGATGCGTTTTCATCAAAAAAATTTTTGAAATTTTCGAATAGGAGAAACCTTTTCTCTATATTTATTATTATTTATTGTAAATCAATTTATATATATTACAATTGTATCAAATGAATTATTTAATATTTGTATTTTACAAGGCGAAACAATAGTGGACAATGAGTTAGCTTGCACATCAACTGAACATAAAGATTCATCTTCAAGTCAACAATATGCAAGTTAGAAACTCTTTTATTTAATTTCTATTTCAATCTTAAAATTTCATTTTTTTTCAATTTTCATCCAGAGCTGTTCCCGCGCGGGTGGAAACAAGTTCTGGAGGAGAAAGGTCCGGAGGGATTTGCCAAGGCCCTCAGACAGCACCAGGGCCTCCTTCTGATGGACACTACCTTTCGGGACGCCCACCAGTCCCTACTAGCCACGAGGATTCGAACGCACGATTTGAAAAAAATTTCGCCATTCGTCGCTTACAGGCTGAATGGTTTGGCGGCTTTGGAGAATTGGGGAGGTGGGCGTTTGAAAATATTTCTGGGAAATGTTGAATGGAATAATTATTTGATATCATTTTCTATTTATTTATTTTTCACGTTTATGTGTTTATATTTTCTTATATAATTTCTATTTAAATCCGTTATACCATTCAATAATCTTTTTTTTCTTATAAATTTTGTAGACAAACTTTCAAATTTTTATCGCCGTCGATCTTTGCCACATGTACTATTAACTAACCCAACTTGTAACAATTTTTATAATTCATTATTATAAAAATGAATTATCTATAATGAATTTAATATATAACAACTTATATAATTCATTATTCTTCAAATTCAAGTATAGATTCAAATTTTCTTCCAACTCGCTCACTACGTCCGTCAGATTCTGATTAAAAAAAAACCTTCATAACCCAGGGGCGACTTTTGACGTGGCGTATCGGTTCCTACACGAAGATCCGTGGGAAAGATTGGAAATTTTACGTCGACTCATTCCCAACATCCCATTCCAGATGCTGCTGAGAGGAGCCAACGCGGTTGGATATGCTAACTATCCGGACAACGTGGTTTACAAGTTGGTGGTTAAGTTTATTTTTTTATGGGATCTAAACATTTTTAAACCATCTTTATAGAAAAATAATTAAACTTTTCAAATTTATCGTATGCCGTTTTTGTATTTCTTAAATTTATTTTAAAGATTTTGCGACCTAGCCGTGAAATCAGGGATGGACATATTCAGAGTATTCGATTCCCTCAACTACGTACCGAACATGGTGGTCGGTATGGATGCCGTCGGGAAAGCCGGTCGGTTGAGTTTATCGCCTTTTTTCAATTTTTCATCTTATAACTAACTCAAATCTATTCGCCCGAATATCGATTCAAATATTTAACCAATTAGGTGGTGTAATCGAAGCGGCGATATCTTATACCGGTGATGTTTCGAATCCCGATAAGAAGAAATACAACGTAGATTACTACATGAAACTGGCTGATGAGCTGGTCAAAGCCGGTACTCATATATTAGGAGTGAAAGTTTGAAGTTTTTTACGTTTTGTGTGTATGTGCGTGGGCGTGTGCGTATGTATATGTGCGTGTGTATGTGTGAGTGTGCGTGTGTATGTGTGAGTGTGCGTGTGTATGTGTGAGTGTGCGTGTGTATGTGTGAGTGTGCGTGCCTGTTTGCATTATGTACAACTTACCATTGTACGTTGCATACCTGCAGTTTTTTTTAGCTTGCATTATCAAAAATGCATGCTACAGAAGTAACTTCTTCATTGCATCTTCATCACCCTCTCACTCACCATCTTCATCACCCTCTCACTCACCATCTTCATCACCATCTCACTCACCATCTTCATCACCATCGAATAGGACATGGCAGGATTACTGCGACCGCAAGCCGCTAAAATTTTAATCAGTCGCCTACGAGAAAAATACCCCGACTTGCCCATACACGTTCACACGCACGATACCTCTGGCGCTGGTGTAGCGGCGTTGCTCGCGTGCGCAGAGGCCGGCGCGGATATTGTGGACGTTGCGGTTGATACGATGTCTGGCATGACAAGTCAGCCGTCCATGGGCTCGGTTGTGGCTTCACTGGAGAGAACCCCACATGATACGCGTTCGTCATTGTAGTATTTATTCATTAAAGTTATTATGATATATGGATATTTATTATTATATTTTAGATTATTAATTTTTATGAATATTCATTATTATCTCTTTTACATCAATACTCCACTCAACATAACTTGTTATAATTTAATTACAATGACATTATATATATATATATATATATATATATTATATTAAATTATAAAAATATTATATTATAATCCATAATTACTTTCCATTATAATTAACTATCCTATCCCAATCCAGATATCCCACTTGAGTATATATCCCAATACGCAGCGTATTGGGAGCAAGCGAGGCAGCTGTATGCTCCGTTTGAGTGCTGCCTCACTATGAAGAGCGGAAACACGGACGTGTATGAGAATGAAATCCCCGGTTAATCTGACAGTTTTTATGGTTGTGTTTTAATTCGAAATAAATGAGCGTTATACAATTGTCAAGATTTTGTAGGCAGAATATCGATGAGCAGGGCTTAGTTATTGTTAAAATGATCAGCAAGATTTGTAAAAATAATTTGAGATAATTAATTTTTCCATTTTTATTTAGGTGGTCAGTACACCAACATGCAGTTCCAGGCGTTCAGTTTAGGCCTAGGTCAGCAATTCGATGAAGTTAAACGAATGTACAAAGTGGCCAATATGGTTCTTGGTGATATTGTTAAGGTACGTTTTTGAAATTTCACTAAAAACACATTTCCTGAGAATAGGATAAACTCATTCTATTGTAAGTTCTTAACAGCGTTTCGTTGAAGTCTTTCTATAACCCAGACCATTGATACTTCTAACTGCGCTTTTATAAAGCCTTTTACAATTTTACTAATCATTTCTTGCTATAACAGACTTTTCAAGTTTCCTCTCCACCACAAACCCAACAGGTTACTCCGTCATCCAAAATCGTCGGTGATCTAGCACAGTTTATGGTTCAGAACAAGCTGACAGAGAAGACGTTGTTGGAAAAGGCGGATGAATTGTCATTTCCGGAGTCCATCATTCAATTCATGCAGGGAATGATTGGGGAACCTTCCGGCGGCTATCCGGAACCTTTGAGATCAAAAGTGGGAGTCAAGTTTTTTGCCATTGAATGGGATTTTTTATTTTGAATGAAGCCGTTTGTTAGAGAAATTTTATGATTCAATGACAACATTGCCTGATATTCAAGAGCGTTAAAACAAAAAAAAAACCATCTGCTAGAATTATTGTTCTTTCCATTATTACAATGGTATAAACGTTTTTAATTTTTCCAGATTCTGAAAAAGACCCCCAGAATCGATGGGCGGCCAGGTGCATCCATGCCCCCGGTTGATTTTGAAAAGTTAAAAGAAACTCAGGAAGAGAAACACGGTCAGCCAATGACAGACAAGGATTTGGTTAGCCACGCCCTCTACCCCAAAGTTCTGGATGATTATTTTGAGTTCAGGAAAGCATACGGACCCGTGGATAAGTTGGATACCAGGACGTTTCTAGTTGGGCCGGAAATAGATGAGGAGCTGAATGTTAGCAAGTTCTCAAACCTGATAGATAAATAAATGTTACCTATTTTTGTTTATATCCCTCTTGTATAATTTCCATTGTTTAAATATTCAAAATTATTATTCTGAAATAATTATATTATGTTTTAAAATTAATATTTTATTATGCATATTTTAAAAAATAAAACTTTCGAGTTTTAGGTTAACGTTATGTTTTTTATTTAAAGGTTGAAATAGGTAGAGGCAAGTCACTGAACATCGTAACGCTAGCCAAAGGAGAGAAAAAACTATCAGGTAAATATTAATACTACTACTGCTGCCACTTCTACTACTACTGCTGCCACTTCTACTACTACTACTACGACTACTACTACTAGAACTGCTGTTACTACTACTACTAATTCTGCTGCTGCTGATGCTGCTACACTTACTACTACCTTTTTACAATTCAATATAGGTGAGAGAGAAGTCTTTTTCGAGCTGAACGGCCAACCTAGATCTCTCTACATACGAGATAAAGAGGCTATGAAGGTGACTATGGTGACGATGAAGACGATGATGACGACGATGACGACGACGATGATGTTGAAGAGCAGATAATTCATAACGTAGCGAAAATAATAATTACGACAACGTTAACGGCGATGGTATATAAAAATTTAAGGTCGCCTAGAACGACTGCAATCAAAACAAATTAATAAAAAATTTCCCAAATTAGGACATGCGCATCCACCCGAAAGCCACGAAAGGGGTCAAAGGTTCTGTTGGTGCCCCGATGCCCGGAGAGGTACTTTCCATCAAGGTGAAGGTCGGGGACAAAGTTGAAAAAGGTCAAGCTCTGGCTGTCATGAGCGCCCTGAAAATGGAGATGGTGGTGCAAGCACCTGTTTCCGGAACTATTAAACGGGTTGAGGCGGCCGGTGGGATGAAATTGAGTGGAGACGATCTGATCGTCGAGATTGAGGAATGATGAAAAAATTTGATTCGCTGGCAGGCTGCTCGGCGAATTTTTTAAACTTTGACAATGATAAAAGTATCGTACTTGATATTTTTCGGTATAATTTACGATACCAAATAACTAATGTACCGAAACACCGATTGTTTGCAATACCCAAATACCGAATCGTCTTTTTATCGATTATAGCCATTTTATTCTGTCTAATATACCGACATGATTGATTAAGTCGTATTTTAATCGATCTGTATTAATATTTTCTTAATTTGTATTATAGTAACGAAAGCATAATAAATCGATTCGCATAATAAAATAATAAATAAATTAAATGAATGCAGTTAAACACACGAAGCAGTATTTTACCTTTCATAATCTTTGTTCATCTTTCTTCTTAGTTAAATGATTTTTAAAGTGGGCTTCACACGCACGCACGCACGCAAGCACGTACACACATTTATATATATATATATATATTTGTGTGTATATAATATATTTGTGTGTGTGTATATATATACATTAACGTTTGAACCTTAGTGAATAGCCATAATATGATGTTATTTAGTATATATATTTTATAACACTTTTACTATATATTTTTATTTTAATTCATTGATTTTATTTATTTGAATTGATTTTGGAGCAATTGTAAATAAATTGACATTCGTTTTACTGAAATTGATTATCGACTCATTTCAATTTGTGTGTGTGTTTTTTAAAGTTTATATTACAATCGTTATCTTCAAAGTTTTTTAAATATTTTTTTTCGAGTTTCTTTCAAATATTTGAAAAAAAAATTTGTGATTATTTTTAATAATACATATTTCAAGTCATTTGTTTATCAGATTTTTTAGTTTTTTCTATCCTTCAAGCACATATGCTTTCGATATTCATATTTTCATCTATCTATTATTTTATTAACTCATTCGTTCGTTCATTCATTCATACATTTATTCATTCATTCATTCATTCGTTGTTCGTTATCCACTCATTCGTTCGATCTTCTCATACTTTCACCTTTACTAACTCGCTCATTAATTCATTCAATCATTCATCCATTCTTACAACAATTCATTCATTCATTTATCCATTCCTTTATCAATTCATTCATTCATTCATTCATTGTTAAATCAATTCCTTCACTCATACATTCAATCAATCATTTAATTTGTTGTTGTTCAGTTGTTCAAAAAAAACTATTTTATTCAGCCGAGCTCAAATGCAATACTTATATATATAAATATATATTTATATATATATACATATACATATATATATATATATATATATTAATAAATTATTCAAACCCAAATACCTTTTTTGTCGGTTTGTCGGTTTGTCGGTTTAAAATTGTAATTATAAGTGGACAATGGCATGACCTTTGACCCTGAAAAAACTACTTATTGTTTGGGTAGGGCGCAGCCCCATAGCCACATTTACTCCCCCTCTTTGACTGTGCCCCATGCGATCCGGTAAGAATAGATGATGGTTTCATGAAGTGAATAAGATAAGAAATATGTATTGGCCAAGCAACGATGTGCGTATTGTAGAATTCGTACAAAACATTATCAGCGTTGTCGTCATCACCCCTATTATTATTATTATTGTTGTTGTTATTTATTGTTATTATTATTGTTGTTGTTAATATTATTATTATTACTATTATTAAGTTTTTCTTGCAGCTAACTAGCTTGACAAAGCGATTGAATTGAACTATGTTTAACCTACGAATAGAATGACAATAGAAGGCTTTGCTATCGAAACATCCCAAACATACATACACACACATACATACATACATACACACACATACATACACACACACACATACATGCATGCATACAATCACGCGCACAAACATAATACATACATATACACACATACAAATACTTTATAATAATCACATTTATAATTTTTAATGCGCGAAAATATTTATTAACTGATTTCGTGTCTTTCTAATTTCACCAGCTAGTAATACCAATAAGTGCCTCGCTATTATACTCTACTGCCTACATTTATATAACTATTTTCAAACTATAATTGATCAAATTGTAATGGAATGTTTTTTATTGTCAATATTTTGATTCTAGACAATTCATTTTATGGATGTGGCTGACACTTAGCTAGTGCAACATCTCAACATCGTTGTCATCAGAAGGCACTTAGACTTAAACCGTCCTAGATGATAGTAAACATTTTACAAGTGTTATAGTTTAATTTCTATTTTTCGCTTATAAAGAAGAGGTTCACCGCAAAGACTGGGGGCCGTTTATCTAGTAGGGCCGCCCTAAAAAGTGCTACTAACTCCTGGGAAATATACCCCTTTCTGAGGGGTGCAGCTCTCCAGACAGTACACCATCCACTTTTTAAAAGTGCGAAATAAATCCAGAAAACATCAACCACATCATCAACAACTACATTCCCGTCAATAAAAACTACTACACCAACAATTACAACAACCGCTAATACAACAACGGCATCAATATGACACTGAAAATTTCTTCCAAAGGTTTCTCGAATTTGTCGTCATTGTTTAAAGTAATTTCTCTGGCCATTGCTACTGCGATGTTACTGGTAAGTATTGGACCTAGTAGAGTTTTAGGCCTACGGTGTTACACGTGCAATCCGTGTACTAACAATCCTGGCGTCTTGGCCGAATGTACGAATGATGAGAGTAACTGCATTACAGCGACTGGTAGG